CCTGTCATACTAGGTCAGATAGGGTGAGCGTGCTCTGAGTCCCTTGCACTAAATATTGCCATCCAATGGGAACTAAGAAGCATGCCTTTTCTGTGGCAGCCACTGCCCTATGAAACTTTCTGCTCGCTGAAGTTTGGCAGGCCTCTAACCTCCTAGTCTTCCACAAAGCTTTGAAGGCCCGGCTTCTCCTCCAAATACTGGGATGGAAGACTATCTGATTTGGCGCCAGGCTTTTGTTGTTTTTCATGTTTTTCATGTGCTTAGTTTGTTCATTTTATTATGGTTTTTTTATGTTGCTTTTTACTTTTGATTGGGAATCACCCAGAGTTGGTTATAAGATAGGCGGTTATATAAAAGTTTTAAATAAATAAATAAATAAATCTGACCAGGGGTGAAATCCAGCAAGTTCTGACAGGTTTTGGAGAACTGGTAGTGGAAATTTTGAATAGTTCGGAGAACTGGCAAATACCACCTCTGGCTGGCCCCAGAGTGGGATGGGAATGGAGATTTTGCAATATCCTTCCCCCAGGAGTGGGGAGGGAATGGGGATTTTGCAGTATCCTTCCCCCAGGAGTGGGGAGGGAACGGGGATTTTGCAGTATCCTTCCCCTGCCACACCTACCAAACCACACCACGCCCACCAAGCCACGCCCACAGAACCGGTAGTAAAAAAAATTGGATTTCACCACTGAATCTGACATTATTACCTCATCTCAGATCAGAGTATCAGAGACAGACCCCATTCCCTGTCTATAACTCCTTAAAGCCTCTGAAATTACTTTCCAAAAGACTGTAGTTTGCAGATAGAAGCCTCTTGATTTATTTTAGAGTTATATCTTGACATATTCCTTAGGTTGAGAGAAATAACTGATTGAAATGCCTCCAAGAAAGCCACAAAAATATATAACAGAAATACATAGAAAACATGCCACTAAAACAAACCCACATTTATCCCTAGCCACTAAATGCTTCCTTTAGTGAATGACATCATTGCTGCGGGCTCTCCCGGCTGAGTCTTTGGTCAGACCCTTGGAAAAGAGGGTTCCAGAAGTGGAGAACAGCCAGCCATTAGGGAGGATGGACCACTGAAGGAAGAAGACGAGAAGGTATCATTAACTGGGAGCAACTTAGCAATTATAAAGCATGTCATTATATTCATATCATAGTGAAGGTATGCATTTTAGAGAGCATGACAGAGTTAACTGAAGAGAATAAGAAAAGAAAGGCACAAGAGAACAAGTGAAAAAATAAAAGAGGGACTAAGACGAGACCCACACTCAAGAAGTAAACAATACCCCAATCAAGGAACTGCCAAATAAGGTAACATTAAAAAAACCAATCAGATACTCCAAGAGCAACCCCACCAACACTGGCAGGGCAAGTAACTAGAATATAAACTGAGAGCAAACCCCACTCCTTACGAGCACTGATGATGTTACCTATGTCAGGTAATGAAACGCCCGCAAGAAAGCAACCAACCTCAGACCAAGGACCCCTCATTTCAACACTGTGCTACAATTTTTTTTCCTTTATTGGGACAAAGAGTTAAAACCTATCTGGGAACTTATTGTCACTGCGTTATTTTATTTACCAGCTGAGCTCATTATTTCTGGACTGTCAGACTCTCCGTAGCTTTGCCAACTTCTTATCAGTAAGCTACGTGTTTCCGCATCCACCCACATTCCTTCACTTGCTCTCACTCTCTTTCCTTTGTTCTCTTTCCAGCAAGGTCCGGCTGAAAGATAGCCGGCCCAAATTACTTTCAAAAATGTAACAATTAACTTTTCTTAGTTAGTGAGGTGTTTTATTTTCTTTATAACAAATAAATGAGTTTTATTAGAAACCTTTCCTCGCATTTCTTTTCAGATTATTGCAAACAAGGATAAGCCTCGATTCATCTACTCTAAACCAGGGTAATTAGTCCCAGAGCCAAACATGGGATTAATAAATGCCCTGACATTCTGGTAGCAGAGGAATTCTGCCTATGCCTAAGTCTAGCCCATGATGCCTACACAATTAGATCCTTGAAGGAAAAAGGTTTCTCGTGGTGCTCCAGCTTGGCAAAAACCATCGGAAGTTAGAAACAAGTTTTCACAAGGGTCCTAATGCCCAGGATTGTTAGCCAAATGAGAACCTCGCAATAGAATGTCCCACCCTGCAGAAGGAAGAAAGGAGGAAGAAACAGAAGCCTGACTAGGTGGCTTGGTGGCTAAGACACTGAGCTTGTTGATCAGAAAGGTCAGCAGTTTGGCGGTTCGAATCCTTAGTACAGGTCTCCTGCGTGAGCAGGGGGTTGGACTAGATGACCTCCAAGGTCCCTTCCAACTCTGTTACTGTTACAAGATGGGACATTATTAGGAGCACATTGGGGCTCAAAGTTCAGAACGGACTTCCATTTTAAATGGTTTGTTTTCACTGATTTATTTTGAATTAAGACATTTTAATTCACTTATTCCTTCTATTTCCCTCTCCATTCTACCTTTGGTCAGGTAGATACATAGCTGAAACTACTTTCCCTGCCCCTTCATTGGAATCAGAAATTTAAAAAAAAAATTAAATACATTTAAGTGGAGAGGAGGGATGGAATGATAAGCCCATTTACCTATTTTTTTTTTAAAAAAATCATACGTTTTCTTGATATCTAAACTGGCCTGAATAGAAACAAACTATTCGGTGGTTTGTGCAGATCCTATAATGCTGAGTTTTGACATTTCTACCCAGATACTGAAAACTATAATAAAAAGTTATGTGGAAGACCCATTTTCTTTCTTTCTTTGGAATCTGATTTTTTTTTCCCCCTCAAGGCCAAAAGCTCATTCATTTTTTTGATCCTCAGAATTAACCAGCCTGATGAAACCAAAACCCTGGTAATTATAGAGACACGTTCATGTAGCACTTGGCAAGAATCAGTGGTGGGTTTCTACCAGTTTGCACCGGTTCGGGAGAATCGGTAGCGGTAGTGGCGGGAGGCTCCGCCCACCCACCCAGACGTCATCACAGACGCTCTGCGCATGCGCAGAAGTGCCGTGCGTGAGTGAAGCAAGCACACGCATGCACACACTCACAGTTCCGAACCGGTTGCAAAGGTAAGTGAAACGCACTACTGGCAAGAATATATACCAAATAGTTTTAGTGTCATCTCCTGAGCCACCATATCTAGTGTCTTTGAGAAGCAGCAGCAGTTTGGAGGAAGAAGGGATCGATCAGGGAAAGAATTCAGAAGACACGCTCCCAGGAGTCTGAACCAGTGGTGGGTTGCCCCCGGTTCGGACCGGTTCACAAGAACCGGTAGTAAAACTGGCAGGAGGCTCCGCCCACTTACCCGGACGTCATCAACGTTGATCTGCGCATGCGCAGAAGAGCTCGCACGTGGTGTGATGCGAACCGGTAGTAAAGGTTAAGTAGAACCCACCCCTGCTCTGAACTAGCCTAGAAGTCCTTCTGGCCTGCCACTTGATCGCTTGAATCTGAAGCGACCAAGCAACAAGAACTGAAGCGCAATAGATTTTACACACTTCAGGCTGTTCTGTATATATTTAAATATAAAAGTCCTGATTCCAAATAATCACTGTAATTTAAATGGAAATATATTTAACTTAACTGAAAGATGGGCAACTCCAAGACCTAATTATTTCTTAATATGGGCTTTTCTCTTTACAGCATTCTTGAGACAACCTTTTGAGTAGATCTCCTCAGAGAATTGTGCTCTAGCAGCCATCAGAGACAATTATTATATTAAAAAAACCAAAATATCCTCATAAGCAGGACATGGCAGCCGGAAACTCTCCAGTTGATTGTGTCCAATATTGGACAGTATATTACTTTTAAACTGAAGCTTTGCTTTATCCGTATATTGTTGACAGATCTATGAACGCTTGTTTGTCTGCCTTTCTGTTTAAAAAAAGAAAACCCCACAAAGGCATGCTAGTCGTTCCTAGCATTTTATTAAGAAAAATAATCTGTGCTTCCAGAAAAAAATTGGAAAATCCATATGGTGATTAGTGGAGAAAGCCAATTTGAAAAATGTAGAAATGGCTTTATAAGAAATATTTTTAGTGAGTAATGCAAGAGTTTTTTCGCTGATAGCTAGACTTTTTCTTCTCTAAAATGGGACCATGTAGGTAGAAGCTTCATGGCCTGGAAGTAAAGGTACAGCATCATCCTGTGTCCATACAAATTGAAAAAAAGATCATCAGATAAATATATATAAGTGTGCATGCATGTGTGTGTGCATAGGAAGGGGGAAATGAGCAGACTTGTTTTTCTTTGTCAAAATAATACATAATATATAAATCAGACACAGAATGATCTTCCGTCCAAAAGTTAAGAAGAGAGGCTTGAAACTCATCACAAAAAATGTTTTTCAGTCCCCTCTACTTCTTTGTAGCTGGGGAATTCTGGGAGTTGAAGTTCACACATCTGAAAGATCCCTACTTTGAAAAACACAGATCTAGATGTATTGGCTTGCAATACACAAAATTCCCATACAAGTGGTGCCATCCCTGGTTTCAATGTTGAGCTGACAATATAGGACTGTCTTCTTCTTTTTCACAACCAATAAGAGATTTGCATAGGCTAAGTGGGTGGGCTTTAGAATATCTAAGTGGGCTTATTTACACTCAAGTGCCCTTGGACTAAAACTCTTGAAGTTTTATTGGCAATATATACAGAAATCAGGTGCCATTGTCACCATCACATTTCATGCCCCAGTAATTCCCTGGTAATATCCCACCCAAGGAATTAAATAGGACAGTCCTGTTTAGCTTCTTAACCCATATAGGGCAGCTATATGCTGCTATTTTGCAAAGATTATCTCCGTTACCATGAGTTTTTAATAGTCTGACATCATTTTCTTGCTAGGAAAGCTGGCACCCATAATTCTAAGAAAAAAACTTGGCAATATCAATCAGACACCAGTTGCAAAAAAATATAATTTCCATACTAGCAGATAATGCTGGGTGCTATTTGGGTAAACTGGAATAAAATACCAACGCCACACCTAAGAATCCAATAATTTTAATAAGTTGTGGTTATTTTTCCCAGCAGCAAGAACACACTTGGAAACTGCTTGTCTATATTACCCTATGAGTCATTTTATAGCACATGAAAAATCTTTTTTGCAAGGCCTTTCTTGACTAATACAATGTGAAGGTTGCTAATAATGTGAATGCTTTCATTCTGGTTCAGGGTCATGCTGAAATAAACGTTTTGGTGCAATCTGCCCTATACATAGAGAGAACAGGAGTTTTGAATCCTGAAAATATCAGTGATAAAGATGGTGAATAAAGACGCAAGATTGCAATCTCCATAGATGCTTTGACTGAGTGTGACACCTGTTACAATATTGTCACAAAAATTTTTGTCACCCCAAAGATGTAAGGATTATCCTGGAATGAGCTTTGTGGATGAGAATTCCTTTCTTCGGATTCATAGGGTATTATCCTTCACTGGATAAGCTACGGAGAGGAGAAACAGCATAAAATATTTTGGTAACAATGAACCACAAAGTACTTGTAATGTAATTAATTCAAACTTCAATACAGGAAAGCAGCTGGTGACGCTAACACAACTTTGCACAATTGTGGAGCAGAAACAACTACTCCAACAAAATTAAACTTATGAATTGAGATGTCCTGTTTAATACATAGAAGAAAGCCTCTGTCACAAAAATTTTACAACTGCAACCCAACATTGACACCAAGGTCCAGCCAAGTTGTTTTTTAGTCTGAATAGGACAGCAAATGGCATGCCTATATATGTTCATGAAAATATGTACTAACCAGCAGAATGTTGGACAAATTCACTGGGTTTCTGCCAAACACACAAACATATATCTCTGGATAACCAAGGTCTGTTCATAAACATCAAAGAAAGGAAGGCAATTTGCTGCAAACTGAGGCTTTCCTTCAAAACCATTTTCTCAGATGATCATTTATCTGAAACATTGATGCTGGCTCACTGCCGCCCTCCCCTTTTAAATATGAGGAATATTTGGGAATGTCACCTGAGTCTTTCATTCCCTTCACAGAAATCTATCCCAGGCAAGGACCCTCTTCCTAACTTTGTCTGATTATCATTTATTCCCACATTGAGGAATGAGAGCTCCACACCCACACGACAGTAGCATCGAACTCAAACTAGTAACTGAACATTGCAAACTGATGGGGCAACTGCTCAGGATTACCTTCCTTTATTTGGGGGTTACCTACTGCCAATGCATTTGAATTTGTTTTGTGGGATAGGATAGCCCTCCCAGGTTTTAAGAGTTAGCCTTCTCATCTAGCACCCAGGAAAGAGGTTATCAGAACTAAAGGGGCCAAGCGCCAAGGAAATTGGGAGATCCAGGCAATTCAAATGGGTATAAAGATTTATTATAAACTTAAGCTCTCTACAAGAATCTGAACTACTAACAGCGAAAAGAAATTGGCGGTAGATCAGTGTAGAAGGGATTCAAGGTGGGTTGGACTTCGATCTCTTGTGGCACAAGGGGTCTCATGCAGGGGTGGGTTCTACTTATCTTTACTACCGGTTCGCAATGGGGGCGCTCGCTTTACTCATGGGTGCGTGCTTTTGCGCATGCGCAGAAGCTTCTTGATGATGTTGGGGTTGGTGGGCAGAACCTCCCGCTGGCTTTACTACCGGTTCTATAGAACCGGTCCAAACCGGGGGCAACCCACCACTGGTCTCATGACTGATGGCGCATTTGACCCTTCCCTTGGGCTCAGCCTGGTCATCTCCTACACCTGCTTTGTCAAGCATGGCAGTTTAATATTTAAGACTTCAGGAAGCTCCATCCTTGGAGGCTGACTACAGATTCACTGCAGATGTAAAGCTGGCGTTCTCAGATGTACCTCTTTTGGCTACACAATGGCGACCCCCCACAAGTAAGTCTAATTCTATACCTCATCCAGTTTGCATGTAGAAAACAGCACGTTAGGAAGAGAGGAATTAAGATTCCTTTCTTAGTCCAGCAGAAGACAAATGAATATGAAGCAGCCATCTGGACTGGAAACTCTGTCTTGTTTGCAAATAATAGCTCCCGATTCTTGTCAAAAATGACAGCTCAGATGTCAGTTCAAGTTATACTCAGAAGATTCAGCTCCTTCTCCTAGTATAGCTCCCTTTGAAAACAGGTGTTCAAAGCTTTTGGATGAAATCACCCACCTTGCACATAGCTTGAACTGTACAAGACTATTTTTTTCCATTCCAAGCATCTTTCCATTAACGTTTCCACTTCGGTCTTCACCTATTGTTTCAGCCGCTTTTATTATGAAAAAGCACATCACATCAATGAAGTGTCAACTCTGCTCAGTGACATTTAGCAGATGTGGCAAACAGCTGCCTACATGAAATTAAGAGAGAAAATAGCCCTCAGGAATGAGTCATAATGCAGTGATACAGGTGATGATTCATATTGACTGAAGCAAAATGGTTTATGTTCTCAGTGAAAATTCACTTGCTACTATGTATTAAAACTTTGACTTTTTGCGTGGAGAGATGTTTGAGAAAGCAGTGTTCCATGATTCCTATGAATAAGAAATTGAGGCTACAAAAATCCCTTAAAAATAGGAGTATTTCCTTGGGCAAATACTCAGTGAATTTTTTAAAAAAGAAATTCTCCCTCTTTGTTTCTCATTCCATGTATATTTTATTAGGAGCAGCTGATCGAAAGCTTCCAACTGATGTTGAATGGAAAGACAAGGCGGAAGCAAAAGAGAATAAATAAGATAAATCCAAGGATTCAAATATTCGACAGTAAGCCATGTACCTAGCCAAAAATATTTCCTGTGATCATCTCCAATTTAATGTGTAATTGTTAAAAGCTTCAACTTTCTAAAATATTTATATATTGATTGCCTCAGTCAGAATACTCATGTTGAATTACTTATGGTTGCATTTTCTCCATAGTTGGTAAGAAGGTTCCTGTTCTGTTGCATGTTAATTTTAAATTTCTCCAACTAAACAGCACAAACCATGTACTAAAAAATGTTACTTATTCCCACATTGGGGAATGAGAGCTACACATCCACATGACAGTAGTACCAGAGCCAAACTAGGAACTGAATATTGCAAACTGATGGGGCAACTGCTCAGGATTACCTTCCTTTATTTGGGTGTTACCTACTGCCAAGGGACACGGTGGCTCAGTGGCTAAGATGCTGAGCTTGTCGATCGAAAGATCGGCAGTTCAGCGGTTCGAATCCCTAGTACTGCATAACGGGGTAAGCTCCCGTTACTTGTCCCAGCTTCTGACAACCTAGCAGTTCGAAAGCACGTAAAAAATGCAAGTAGAAATATAGGGATCACCTTTGGTGGGAAGATAACAGCGTTCCATGCGCCTTTGGCATGTAGTCATGCCGGCCACATGACCACGGAGACGTCTTCGGATGGCACTGGCTCTTCGGTTTTGAAACGGAGATGAGCACCGCCCCCTAGTCGGGAACGACTAGCGCATATGTGCAAGAGGAACCTTTACCTTTACCTTACCTACTGCCAATACATTTGAATTTGTTTTGTAGGATTGGATAGTTCTCCCAGGTCTTAGAGTCAGCCTTCTCATCTATCACCCAGGAAAGAGGTTATCAGAACTAAAGGGGTCAAGCACTAATTCATCACATCCCACTCAAAATGGGAACAATGAGTAATTAGTTTCATTGTTTAGTTTGGTCTATAGACAATCTCATTACTATGCAAATATGATCATAGAAGTGTTGGATAGTCATATATCGGGAATGGAGTGGCCAATCCTAGAATGTGCAGGGGGTTGGATTCATGACCACTTGGGTGCCTTCCAACTGGGATTCATACAAATGTGTAGGTTTGATCCAAACTTTAAATATTTCATTTTTTTCCTACATAAATAAAGACATCTATATTGTGGTGGAATCATGCAGCTTGAATGGAGGGTAGAGTTAAGAGACTGACTAGCTTGGAATCCTTGCAGGAGAGGAAGCGACAGAGATCTGATTCCCCCATCTGGGGAACGCAGAGTGGGATGGAGCCCATTAAATGGCTCATGTGATGTGATGTCGCCAGGGCATGAGGGGGGGGTGTTATTTTATTATATTAATTTATTAATTTATTATATGATTCTCTCTTTTATTAGTTTTACTGTTTTTATATGAGGTTTTTATATTCTTGTAAGCCGCCTTGAGTCGCCATGTGCGAATTGGCAGCAATATAAATTTCTTTTTAAAAAAAAATTCCAGCCTCTATCTGGTTGTTCCGAAAAGAGTGCAGTCTGGCAAGATTCTTGTAAACAGGCAAATAGCAATAAAGAAACTTCTCTAATCAACTCATGGTGCCACTCTGGTTCCTTGCTCCTGATAGATATGAAATCAAACCATAAGAATATTTGCAATAAATAGATTACAAGCAGCAGCAGCTTTTAAATACAAAAACACCACATCATAATTTAATTAGAAGAGAGGTTTAGGCAAAAGATAAAGACTTCTCTAAAGAGCAATTTAGTAATTTCAGAATAAAAGCAAATGAACAAAAAAACTCCCATTGGGCAAAGAAACTGAAGTCCTATTTGGATTAATCTGACACCCCCCTCCCCCCCAAAAAAACTTCAAAACCATACCCAACTCCAAACTTAGTCACTACATAATGTGGGGTTAATACTGGGACCCATACATGAAATGCCTTTTGTTAACTCTATTTTTAAAATGCTAGTCGCAGGAAATCTTGTAATTTCATAGAAGTGTGTTTTCTACCCCTTGCACTATAAATTAGGACTAAAACATGTGAACCAGGAAACTGTATGTGACAGCCTGCTATTGCCCATGGCTCCCTTACATCTTCTTATCACAGTTAAACAGACACTATCTTTATTATTATTTTTTTAATTTTATTTATTTTTATATGCCGCCCTTCTCCGGAGACTCAGGGCGACTTACAAGGCGTTAAGCAATAGCCTTCATACTTTTGTATATTTTTATACAAAGTCAGCTTATTGCCCCCACAAACCGGGTCCTCATTTTACCCACCTTAGAAAGGATGGAAGTCAACCTTGAGCCTGGTGAGAATTGAACTCGCAGTAATTGCAGGCAGCTGGATGTTAAATGCTGCCTTAGTAGGAGGCATTAGCTTCCTACACCACTCAGGCTCCAGGCTTCTTGTTAGTCAGTTAACAGAAGTGGTCAGTAATCTCCCTTAGGAAATCTTTCCCAAAGGAGAAGTGGTTGGGGGCAGCTAGTGTGCTGGCAGAATTTTTTTTAAAAAAAAAAGTGGGGAAAATGTCTGACAGAAAAACTGATGGCTGGCAAGATGGATTTGGCTGCTGAAGACTGATAGGTTGAATTAGCTGGTGAACCTGAGATAGGCTGCAATGAATTGCACTACTGAGTTTTAAGTCCAAAGAAACGCCAAGCCTTGCAAAAATAGAGCAAGGCACAAATCAGGGAAAATGCTAAAAGACTGGGGACAAGCAAGGGTCAAGGGCTACCTGACAGTGTGTGTGTGAGAGGGATCCAAGGAGACCGTGTTCTTCTAGTCATGGAGACAAACCAGAATCAGAAAAAAGAATACTAGCCAGCAAGTTGTATCCTTCTATTAAATATAAAGAGGTAGGTAGAGGAAATTCTAGGGACATGTACATGGAGCTGTGGTGGTGCGGTGGTTAGAATGCAGTATTGCAGGCCGACTGTGCTAACTGCCAGCAGTTTGATTCTCACCAGCTCAAGGTTGACTCAGCCTTCCATCCTTCCGAGGTCAGTAAAATGAGGACCGAGATTGTTGTGGCAATATGCCGACTCTGTAAACCGCTTAGAGGGCTGTAAAGCGATATATAAGTCTAAGTGCTGTTGCTATTGCTACATATGCATTCAGCTAAAATAACAGCTTGGGAACCTTTTCAGGACAGAAAAGGTTAACTTTTAAAATCTCAGGTCATTGTGGCTACCTTCCAAGTGGGCAAAGGAATGCAATTATCTATTTGTAGATTATGCTTGCAAAAGTGGCTGAGGAAAGTAAACGTTCCTTGTTTGAGTTAATCTTCTAATTATTTTTTTTAAGGGAAGGGGAGAAAAAGCACAAGTAGTTGTTTTGCAAAAGATCTTGTGAATTTACAAAAAGCTATGATATATACATTATTAAACATACAAAAACTAATACATCTTAACTCTAATTATAATGATGGAAAACTCAGAAGTGTTTTTGAACAGAACTACAGCATTGGAAATAATGCTTTTATTTTGTCCTGTCTCATATGTAATAACATATTGTTCAAGAGTGTATAGGAAGGAATATTAAAAAGTGCTGTGGTTAAAATCTGACACACACATCTTTTTGAAATGATGGCTAATAAGATTTCAATTATGAACCTATCATATTATGTCTATTTCAAGCAGTGGGATATTTGTAGTAATGCCAGCAGTGATAAAAGTCCATTACTATTCTTCAAAAAGCTGACTGTTCAGTTTTTAGAATTTATATAACTATAACAAATTCAAACACTAAGTAATTTTGTGCGTCCTAGAGATTTCTATTCTTGCATGCACTATAGATATTAAAACAATGGGGAAAAAAATCAAAGTTGGCGCACACAGCTGGGAATATTCTTTTATGCTGCTTATCCTGATTTTAATGATTTATTTTCAACTCAGTATGGGGTGTTGTTGTTTTTATGAATTTGGAACTCTATAAAGAAACTGAGACAGGCTCATTTCCAAAAGAACATTGTAATGGCAAGAACAGAGATGTATAAGAATTTTGGTAAGACCTCAAAAAAAGAAATGCAGTAAACTTCAATCACTGAGAAAATTGGAACTGTTTACAAGTACCACCTAATGTTTTAAATGGTGCAAAACTGATTTATATTTGTAATCCAGAGCATCATTCTATTGGCAGAACCAATTCTTCCTCCTTTTCCCAGATACCCTCAAATATGCTCCATGTGAGATGGTCTGAGGTTTAGACAGGATGTCAGAAGATATGGAAATCCATTGCATATTAATATTCAGAGAACTTTCTTTCATTATAAACATATATCTAATTAAGCCACATAATCTAACAATGCATAGCAATCTTGCAGCTCCTTGAATTTTTAATATCAAAATACAATATGAGCACATTAACAATTATGCTCTGAATCTCGAGAACAAGGGTAGCTTCTGTCTGAAGGATCTGCATCTTTAGTTCTATTTTGCTGACATTTTAAAACATGTTTTCTTTGGAAAGTTTAAAAAAGAAAAGCATTTGTGTGGTGACAATTTTTAAGATTTATTTATTTATGAATCCGAGCAGAACATACACAGAAAACTCTTATTTCTTCAGGATTACCTTGTAAAATTGATCACGAGCCCAAATTGCTTGTGTACTATGATGCAATTCAACGTGACTGGCAGGACCTCTGCTCATTCCTGGGTAGCACCACCTTCTTCTCAATCTGGTCTGCAGGGATCATCAATCTTCTATAATACGTTTTGAAAGCACACACTGGGTTTTACTCTAATCTCTATTTCATTTTAGGCATTTTGTGATCTTTGCACTGTATTTCCTATTTTCCATGTATTGTTTTAGTAGATTTTTCCTTCTGATGTCCATATTTTAAAATCATATTTTGTCTGTGCTTCACAGAATAAACGTGTCAGTTATTTTTCAACCATTGCAGAAAATGACTTTTGCGAGAACACTTGATATCAAAACTTGTATAAGGTGTTTTATAGATGGCATATGCCACCATAAAGATTAGCTAAGATGTTTAAAGATAAATCAGCTAAGCGTTGGAAATGTCACCAATTGCATATCATATGTGGTGGTTGTGTAAAGAGGCAAAACAATATTGGGTGAAAATACAAACATGGTTAGAGGGAATGCTGCAGCAACATATAGAATTAACACCAGAGATATTCTTATTGGGAATTGTACCAGAGAAATATAGTAAAGAAAATACATATTTGATTATTCATATAATAACAGCGGCTAGAATTGTATTTGCACAAAACTGGAAAGCAGATAAAATCCCGTTGGAAGGAGAAATTATAAAGAAAATTTTAGAATGTGCAGAAATGAATAGATTAACATTGAGAATAAAAGATAAAGAGGAGTTGATGTATTTCAAGACGTGGGATAAATTTTATGATTAGTTAGAAAAGAAATATGAATAAGGATATAGAAATAAAATAGAGAATAGATGGGAGAAAACAATTAGAAAAATAAATACCCAGATGATGTCAAGTAAAAGGAGAAAGGAGGGGGGGTAAAAGGGAAAAAAGTGGGATATTACAAAAATGTACGCAAATGATGAAATAAAAATAAATAATAATTGAATAAGAAATTGAAATGAGAATAAAGATAATTAGAAAATCGGGGCTGCTCAAATACCACTTTAGATTGAACTGAAAAGGGAAACAACAGGAGAGAGGGGAAGGAGTAGAGAGAGAGGAAGAGAGAAGAGAGGAGAGGAGAGAAGAGGAGAAAGAAGAAAGGGAAAAGGAGAGGAAGAAAAGGGAGGGGAAAGAGGAGTAAAGGAGAAGTGGGGAAGAAGAGAGGAGTGGGGGAAGAGAAGGGGAAGTAGGAAAGAGGAGAGAAAGAACGAAGGAAGTAGGAGAAGAGAGAGGAAGGAAGAGAAGGGGAGGAGAAGAAAGGTTGGAGTAAAGGTAAAGGTTAAAAGAGCAGTCCCGAAAAAATAAAAATGAAAAATGAAAGTTAAAAGAAAAGATGAATGAAAAATGATGAAAATGACTGTACATGTAAATGTGTTTATGAGAAATAAAAATAAAAAATTTATAAAAAAAGAAATTTCCATGAAAGTGCTTTCATAGTGAATCCTGTGACAACCAGAAAAAATACAATTGGGAATTTTTTGAAATAAAAGTGTTGCAGTTTGTATGCTGAAAAAAGGCGGACAGTAATTTTAAGTGATTATTGGTTATTACAGGCAACTTAACTGTCCAATTGATAGGAGAAATCAATTAATGCATCTAGAATCATTCTTAGGGAGTCCTGGATTTAAAGAGAAGTTCTGGGAATAAGTATTTAAATTACTTATAGATTATCTTGGAAAGTATGCCTTGCAATTCTTGTATTTGTAAGGAGCTTTTACAATTATTGTAAAAAAAACATGCTTTATGTTTTATCTTGAAATAATGGATATTTACTCACTTATTAGACAGAGTGGTTTAATAATGACGGAGTGAGCTGCAATTCACTTTGTAATCATTACGCTGAGCTTCATGGTGCTTAGAAATCTAGTGATTAACTCTGAACCCAAAGTATTATTCATGATTTTAGAATTACTCAAAGTTCTAACTGCCGATTTTCCACTTTGGGATGAGCAACCTTTTTTTTTAAAGAAGACAGTTATCACCATATGCACAACTGAACTACAGTTCATTATGTCTGAAAGGAAGTGTGAAAACTAATGAAAGTTATGATGAATAAGAATATGTCACTAGTACACCCTAGTGGTGTCCAAAGTAATTCTGATCTGAAATGTCCCATTTTGAGTTTGAAATAGTCATTTCAACATCAGCTGAAGTGTTTTGACACCGACATAGCTCAGAGCTTGGACTGTCAGAAGCTCAGCATCAAAAAACATTTTTGAGCTGCTTTTTGGGCCAAAACAAGTGTTTCCAATCCAAAGCACTTTGTACCATTTAAGTTCACCCAGGCATACCATAGAAATATTAAAAAGGTGGACCTTTTAACTGAACATGATTTTTTTTAAAAAACTAAATCTAAGGGGAAAAAATACTAGATGAGGAAAATGGCCTACTTAGAAGAAAGAATAGTGTCAATACAGTTTTTATAAGCATCTAGAACGAACTTTTTTCTTTTTTACACCCAAAGAAAAGGATTTCTGCAAAAAGATGAGTGCCAAAGCCATTATTTGTGAAGATACCTGTGGAAAAACATCGCTTGAGAAGAGCATTCAAGAGCTTCTTCAGTTCTAATCTTAAGGTGACTCTTTAATTGCAAATGCAAATGAAATTAAATTCATTTTATACCCATTATGATCCTGTGTAAGTACAATGAACATACGGAGAATTTCTGACACTGGCACAGAAGGTAAGAACTGCTGTTTTGAGATTGCCTGTTGGAACTTGCTCTTCGCTCTTTATTGCAGCTCTGTTGACAGAGTTATTTTTATGGTTCAATCACACATCATTAGACAGAATTACATGATTATGGATAAAGATTATTTCTTCCAAGGACCATTAGTGGTCAAGAAGGGACCACTTGGCCACAGGTTACTATGGAAGACTCTGAAATAATGGAAAGAAATCATCCCACTCTTCTCCCAACTTCAGACATAATTTACATCATTTTCTAGACTTTGCAGAAAGGCTTTTGAACAACAAAAAACCACACCGCAATCAGGGCTTTGAAGACCCAGTATTCAATGTTATATGTATACATCTAAAGGCAGTGCTTCTCAATATCAGCAACTTTTAAGATGTGCGAACTTCAACTCCCAGAATTCCCTGTGCTGGCTTGGTAATTGTGGGAACTGAAGTCCAAACATCTAAAAGATATTGAGATTGAGAAACACTTAAGTAAATTGTCCGATTTCCTTTCAAACTTTTAACACTTCGCTTGGATTTTAGCTTTTCTGAAAGATATTTTTTCAAGTTAACATGTGTATTTATCAGATCCCATTCTGTACACCCTTCTTGCAAGACCTCATCTGAAAATTAGCTTCAGAAGAAATAAGTAGTAATAGTAGTAGTAGTAGTAGTAGAAGTACTAGTAGTAAATAGTATCATCATCAACACCATCATTCTTATAACAATGTAAGCGCTTGCATTCCCGTAAGGCATGGAGTTAAGAGCACTGTCCAGAAAAAACAAAGACTATAAATCCACAAAAATACAGACATCAAATACCCGTTTCTATAACAGCACTATTTTTCTTCCTTTTACATACAAAAGCATTTTTAAATAATCTGAAATTCAGGTTGATCACTTTTAGTCCCATTAATTTCACAGGTATACATGAGTATGAGAAATCAATTGCTGCCAACTGGAAAAGTAATTCAAAACATGGTACTTATTATTGACAACTAATTATATGAAATATATGACCTGCGTACTTTAAGTTTACCCATATGCAATATCTTTCAACTCCAAATAGTGAGTAAAAAGCATCTGGTAAATGAGCACAATATAGTACAGCAATTTGATAAAGAAATTGCACATTTCAAAACAGATACTATACTGAAAAGCAGTAACACATCTTACTATCCTCATTCTTATTTTAGAATCGGCAGATCCATGCAAACAACAAATAGCCTCACATTTATGAACAGTAGAATTTTTTTTTTTAAATGAGGGCATCAATGCTTATTCCACATAGGAGCTGCAATTGGCCCCTGTGGAGACCTTTCAACAACCACAAACTCATCAGGGTTGCCAACTGCTTGGTAGTGGATTAACAAATCCTGAATAGCACGTTCTTCAATCTGAAATGAGAAGGGAGGAAAGGAAGGGAGAAACTCTTAGGAATCTGGCAAAAACTGGAATAAGAGCAAAAGCTCACAATAGAGGGCAGTGAGTCGATCTTTCACATATACTGAAATGTTTAATGGGATAAATCTTTTAATTACTTTCAATTATGGATTCTGCATTCCAGTTAGACAGCAATCCATAAGATTTTAACAAAACACAAGAAGGGAAGCAGCCATCAATTATATCTAGCTATGTTACTGAAACCATGACAATTTAGTGTAATCTAGATATGAAATGCTAAAACTGAAGTTTAAATAAATGTATTGCAGCTTAAAACCCTACGAATATGGTATTGAATGGCATATTTAGAAACATCACTAAGATTCCTTGGAATCCCAAACGAAGGAAGAGATGAAAAGAAGGCAAGAAACAGACATTCGTACACTGCATAATTCTGACTTTTATTACTCTTTACCTGGATCAAAGCTAAAGGTTTTTCTCTACTTCGTATAAGAGCAGCTTCTTGCTGAAGTTCTTCTTCTACAATTTCTGCAAATGTGATAGGCAATGCTGCAGCCGGGTTTCGTAAGGGTGATGCTAACCAAGGACTGTAAGATAAGTTACAAATACAAAGCATCACATTTTTACAATATGTGCTTTTGTACATATATATTTGGACTATAAATTTAACTTACTTCTGATTCTCTGATGGCATTGGTTCACAAGAATGTTCACTTTCTGCCCCAAGAGCAATGGTATTTGTGTACCTGCTGACAAAAAATGAGTGCAAGAATTTTAGAGAGTCATGATGACGCAGTGATTAGAATGCAGTATTGCAGGTTAATGCAACCGACTAATTGCAGGTTAATGCAACCGACTCAGCTCAAGGTTGTCTTAGCCTTCCATCCTTCCAGGTCAGTAAAATGAGGACGCAGATTGTTGGGGGAAATATGCTGATTCTATAAACTTCTTAGAGGGGGCTATAAAAGCACTATGAAGAAGTATACAAGCCTATTGCTATTGCTAATAACAAATGTTCTTTGAGGTATAAAAATTCAGAACACAGAGCCCAAATAACTTGTATAAATGCAGCACTCTGTCTTCTACAAAGTAAATGGTTATGACCACATAGTCTTTATTCAGCAGGGACTAAAATGTTTCAATCAACACTTCTGTGAAGACATAAACAGCCATTGCAGTGTTGGGATTCACTAGTACAGAGTATGAGTCAGAGGAACAGTATTTTAAGAAGAAACAATGGTTAAGTAAAATAGAATACTCTTTCAGCTCAGGATGGTTGTTTTGACAGGACTGGGATTGGCAAAAAAATCTTTTGTTATGGTAGAGTGACATATATCCAGACTTAAAAAACAGACTGCACATCAGGAGGAAAAAAGTAACAGACATTCCATTCATTTGTTTTTAAGTAAAATGTTTTGCAGTACTAAAAGGATGATCTGTCGATCATATTGCCTTACCCAAGGACAATGGATGAAGATTATAATGCAGCCTCCTAATCTTCCTTTGATATGATGCCATCACCAACTTTTGGGGGGATGCAAGAACAGGTATAGATAGCCGCAGCAGACCAATTTTGAATCATTTCAGTGGGTTGGAGGTAAGAATGCTTTTCATTCCCATCACTAAAACCTCCCAAAATTTTAAAAAGGCTGATAGTGACCCAATTAAGAAAGATTTCAGCCTTTGGGATATTAGATCAGGAAATAATGCAGGAGCCACCTCAGGGGCCTGCTGAGCACTCTTACCCTTCAGGTTTGAGAACACTTAAGCCATGAAAAATCATTCTGAAATTTGATTATTTTGTCACTGAATTTTGGCAGCATGATCTCATGATGCTAGATATTCGCTGACTGGCCACATCTTTACAGAATATACACCAAAATAAAATAATACTTCTTTACTGACTTTTTTATCCTTGCATATGTATCTTCAGTGTTTCTCAGAAAAGTATTTTATCAGAGATGGAAACACAATCTGAAGTTCTCTTACCTCAAACATTTTTGCGCTGGTACATTCTCCATCGCTTTAGCAGAACTGGCACCAACTACTTTTTTCTCTTGTAACAGGAGATCTCGGAATGATTTTGGCAAAGCAGAATGCAATGAAGAAGCCCTAAAGTAAAATAAACCAAATCTTACTACGCTACATTTACTGACAATCCTAGTGCAATTCTTTCACCAACTAACCTATCTTTTCTATTAGTGAAATGAACCACTGAGAAACATGAATCTTCATGACTGCTGTCCTAGAACATTACTTTTCCGTATCTTCTACTTCTGTGTTCAATCAGTACAATGCATTGAGGGATCTGCTAGAAATTCTGAAATCATTCAATCAAAGGTAAGGCCTTGGGGGGGGGGAGGGCTGTTACATAATTGATTAAAATCAAAAAATAATTTCATCCATTGAAGGATGTTCCCAGTAAGCTGTATGGATGATTGTCCCCTCAGGGCACCGCTATAAGACATTGTATGCCAAAATAAATAAGACACAGAGACAGGGTTTTTTTTTTTCCCTTCATGCCATTACTCTTCTGAACATCTAAGTATCATAACACTGCTTTATGTCTAAGGCAGGGGTGAAATCCAGCAGGTTCTGACAGATTCTGGAGAATCGGTAGCAGAAATTTTGAGTAGTTCGGAGAACTGGCAAATACCACCTCTGGCTGGCCTCAGAGTGGGGTGGGAATGGAGATTTTGCAATATCCTTCTCCTGGAGTGGGATGGGAATGGGGATTTTGCAGTATCCTTCCCCTACCACACCCACCAAGCCATGCCCACCCAGCAACCCCACGCCCAAAGAACTGGTAGTAAAAAAAAAATGATTTCACCACTGGTCTAAGGATATATTTTTACCCATGTAGTATGGCTGTATTACTGTTATCCTTCTCATCTTTTCTACTACCTTCTGTTATTGGTATCTTATGATTATATACTTTGTTGTTTGTATGTAGACTGAGAGCTTATGCACCGCAGACAAATTCCTTGTGTGTCCAATCACACTTGGCCAATAAAATATTCTATTCTAACCCTAACCCTAGCTCTAACTATTGCACTGTTTTTTTTTCCCTGTTAGATACAAAATGCTCTCCCTTTCAACAAGATATTTCTTCTTTTCAGGCGTTGGAGTAATTGGGATGTTGTGGTCTGCAGCCCATTAAGTTTCAACATTCCAGATGAAGAAACACGCTTACAACGTTGATGTACCATGAGTATTGCAAGCCTCTTCATGGCATGACTTAGGCAAACAAGGAGGTTTTTCAGTTAAAGCCACCAAAGGTCTTAAGCATAATATGAGAAATAAACAATACTCAGAAATGAGAACCTGCTGAACCTGTTAACTGAAAAAAAAACCCTGACCATCTGGCACTTAGGAAAGTAACAGCATAATGTATCCTGCCAGAAGGAAGAAGTCACATCTTCCAGTAAATAAATTATGTTCTTTCACCAGAGATGCATATGCACACACACATATATATTTGGAAATTATACTTAAATCAATTTCCAAATGGAAAAATTAGTCTTTGTTCTTTTAGTCTTCCACGTTTCACTCTAACAGTAATCTCTACATATTTTACTTAATTAATCTTCAAAGAACAATACGTATCCCTGATTCCACAAAACTGTAAACTGGACATTATTTTTGGCAAGAAAAAAAATGCAAGTATGCTTTAAGGTAGCCTGAATCTCCATGTCAACCAAAAAAAAATTCCAAAAGGTACCACACCCTTCTGGCATATTTTCTTGCCAGAAGACCTGCTGGATTTCCAAGACACGTATCTTGTTTCACTGCAAAACAATGCTTCAAGAGAATGCCATATACTGCAAGCATAGAAATCTCAATTTGATGCCAAATGCCATGCTCCTTTTTAAAAATTAGAGTTATACCACATCACAAATCTCAACATGTTAAGTACACCTCTTCTTTTCTCACTATTAATTAAGTATTCAGGAATATTCAGTGAATACTTTATTTACTAATACTATTTACTGATACAAAAACATAAACAAGCTAAGCCTTAGATATTTATAAACTTTAAAGACAAAGATAAATACAGTTACTCAATGAGCCATGTATCATAATAAACTTTTTATTTTTGGTACTTCCTTTGGACATAGTCATGTTCTTGGTCCAACCATTCAATATTTCCACAAAACACCACCAGTAATGATTCTTCATGGTTTAAAGTAGGTTCATTTCCTACCTTGAGATGCCAGGGATGAATAAAAATTTGACAGTCAAATCAATACTCTAGTATTAAATTATTGTCCCTCCCATAGATGAGTCTGAAACAAACTTGAATTATCTCAATCAGCAGTAAACTAAAAAAAAAAATTAGAAGGTTCATACCACACAGTCACTGGCTTTGTAGTTTTGGGAGCTGTAGATAACACAACTGCATCGGGCACAGTCTCTGGGTTATTATCCTTAGCAGCCAGAGCCATCAATTTCTTTTGCTTCTGAGAAAGTTTATTTCCTTGGGAAGTGGCTCTACTAAAATTAGATACAGAAATGTAAAATTACTTTACTAAAGTTTATCAAACAGAATGTAACAAAAGACTATCAGTCACAAAACTAATGGATTATATCTTGTGAATTTACAAAATTATTTGCCACTGTAAACCAAACCATAATTAAAATAATAGCAGTTTTAAAAAGAAATATTCCTAATCTGTGAATATGTATTCATGTCAATGAATACATAAATAACCCATGTTTGCAGGACAACATGAGTTCTGCACTACTAATACTAATTTTTAATCCAAAACTGAAACTTCAGAAGCACTGATTCTAACAAAGTTGTTTTTTCAAAAAAGATACACAACAAATTAGGACTTTAATACAGTGAAATTGATTGTATTGCACCCTTTTTACTAACCATAAATTTATTTTTGGCATGCTTTCACATTTCTGTAGATTTTCTTCACTTTCCATAATAGTTCTTAAATCAACAGCAGGAGGACTGGCAGGACTGAATAAAAAACAACAACAAATTGTTTTAAAATATCCATTTTTACTTACATTCCAGTTGCCACACACCATTGTAGCCTTCTATATGTAACCGGATGTATAATTTATGTCTACCTCCTCAATTATGGCAAACCTCAAATAGAATGTTTTCGAATGAATGTTTTATTTATACATATTTTTCAGGAAATATATACACCAAGGATACTTTTAGGTCCACTGACAACACTGAGTAAAATATTTAAGACAGAATTTTAAGTAAGCTGCCTGCTTATTTTTCTTTTAAAGTCTATCATGAATTAATATTACAGATGGAAAACTGAAACTGCAACCAAACATAATTAGGCTTGCAAGAGCACTCACTGAAAGGCAGAAATTAGCATCCTAAGCAGAAATAAATCAATGTTTTGAGCAGAATGACCACAAACTAACCAGAAAGTCAGATGATTTGATTCTTCCAAAATCATTTTATGAAGGCCCTGCATTTCAATGACGAGGGAAGCTCACATTCCACAGACAAAGGAACAATCTTGCAAGAGGACAGAATTTGACAAAGGCAGAAACACAGAGAAAACATATACCTAAAAGAGCCGGCAACCCAGTTGGAAGGACTCATAGAGGTGCTTTTGTTATTAGGGATACTCTGTGGAAGAGAATGTTTTTGCACTGATGATCCATGACAGATTTTTAACTCTTTGTTGGCAGGAGAAACAAACGTATTTGAAATACCCATTTTCTCTTTCACCTGTAGTCAAAACATACTGCCGTTACATTGTTGTAGAAAAAGAGCCTTATGAACTTTTCAGATAATCTATTCAATCTATTTTGGCTGAAGTCTATAAAGGCAACTATTCTCTCTCTTTATCTCATTCTAAAAGCTAGTTCTAGTGTCACATTGCTTTTAACATTCTTCATCTTGGGAAATCACCTGGACAAACCCTACTGACTTTTGTGCCACTTTCTCAATTGATTTTATATTTATCTATTTAAATAATTTATATGGCTACCTGTGTCACAATAGTGATTGTGGGGAGCGATGAGAATAAAAGCATGACGCGCAGCAATTTAATGATTTCATTCTCCAAGAAGTTTGGAAAGGAGGGCTGTTTTGGCATTAATACTGCATCCAGTTTTGGTCACCACATTATAAAACAGATGTTGAGACTTTGGAAAAAGTCACTTCATAACAGTGAGAACAATTAACCAGTGGAACAGCTTGCCTTCAGAAGTTGTGGGTGCTTCATCACTGGAAGTTTTTAAGAAGAGACCGGACAGTCACTTGTCTGAAATGGTACAGGGTGTCCTGCTTGAGCAGAGGGTTGGACTAGAAGACCTCAAAGGTTCCTTCCAGCTCTATTCTGATTGATTGAGCTTTTTTTAAAGGAGTTTTGGCATGTAACATTTAAGGAGTTTTTGCAAAGGGGAATTTTGCTGTGCTGTCACTCAGACACCATTTTTTTTTGGCAACTGAACCCAATCCTGCCCATCCCAGCAGCCAGGCCAAATACACCTTGTCAGTAATGGGAGCCATAAAATGGCAAAGGTAAGTTGGGGCACTGGAGTGCAGGGCAGAAGGGGTCTCAAAAGGGCATAGTGGCAAAAGTGACCAAGAGTGGGATTGAGTTGGGGCAGCTGCAGCTTCCCAGGATGTAGCAAGCAGTCCAAGAGCCACATGGTTCTTGGTCTGTTTGCTGCCCATCAAGGCAAGGTCCAGAGTGGCCCAAAGGCAGAGACTGGGCGGGGAGGGGGGGGAGAGATAGATAGTTGGGAGGGAATTGGAATGTGTCTGTTTAAGTGTGGGTGAGTTGCCAAGTGTCCCTACATTTCGATCACATAACCACAGGTGATCTTTGGGCACATGTTGTATGTTCATTTTTCAGCACCTTCACAATTTCAACGGCTGCTGAATGAATGGTCATAAATCAAGGACTACCTGTAAATTATTCTGCTCTAAACAACACACTAATTTTATGCGGTATAATGTTTTGCAGATGACAAAGCCACAATCTAGAGTAGAGGGTTAACATCTGCAGAATTCAGGAAACAGCCCCAGATAAATGAAATACACATAAACCACCAAAGTCCAATCGACAGACATAGCACTTTAGATAAGAACGCTTGTCCCCTTAAGTCATTTAACCACTGGGTATGGTTTATCCTGTCTCTAAAAAACTTATTAAATTTTAGGCTGCACTTAATACATCAGTATTAAAGACAAACGATTAGCAAACACAAACCTCAATTTTATCTGTAGGGAGACCTGCTGTAAAATCAGGCGACTGCAAATCTCTAGGACTGTTCACTCCCACAGAACTGCCTTCAGAATCAGATGTCAGCATTTCAGGGAGGGATTCAATAGAATTAGCTTTATCCAGTTTCAGTATTCCTGCATGAACTGCATGAACTGGGGGGGGGGAGGAGAAAATACACAATCATCTTAGGACAGATCAGAAATACCCAGGGAAGCAAAACTTCTGTTATCTGGAGAATGGATCGTTATGCTGTACAACAATGTTCCTGAATCTCACCAATTTTTAAGATGTGTGGATTCAATTCCCAGAATTCCCTTTTCAGCTGGGGATTGAAAGCCATAGATCAAGTTGCTGAGATCCAGAAAGACTCCTCTAGTAGTTAAGACTACCTGCTTGAGTTCACAGAGAAAGGGATTGCCCCAAATCCTCTGTTTCAAGCATGCAGCAGCAGCCTTTCAGTATTCGTACTTTTATGCACAATTCTCAAGACTCCCATTGCTTCACACTGTCATTTCTGGGGCAGCTGTTTTTCTCCTTTGGTGTGGAGTTGGAATAGAAGAGTGTATGACCTCTTAATACAAATTACACTATTTCAGTCATTTTGAGGAAACATTTTGAAACAGCATTGCTTCATGAATGGAACGGCTTCAGAGTAGTTGAAACACTTGTTTCCAATTTTCAGTTAAAGTTTGCACGCCTCAGTGAAGTGTATTATAATAAGCTGCTTGCATTGAAAAAAAATCAGATTTGTGTATTTTCTTAACAAGATAAATTTATCATTTGGAAAATCTAACAACAATCTTCCTTTTAATTTTCCTTTAGTAATAAGAGGCTAGGAGGTGTTGGTTAGAAGGGCTACAACCCATTTAATATTCAATTAAGAAATGTAGCCAAAAAACAACAGCAAATAGCTCAGTATTGTTTTTACATAGTCAGTATTTTTATACATATCACATTTAATAGTATTAATTTCACACAATTCAAAAATATTACTTTGAAATGTTATTTTAAAGCTACAACCAAAATGACATGAAGAAAATAAGTAATCTGTTATGTGCAGGACACTAATATACTTTTTGTTACAGGTTTACAGATCTAAAATGCTGATCAGTTTAACTCAATTTAAGCTAATTCTTTGTGACTGAGGTGTTTGTGAGGTAGGTGTTCTCTCTGAAATACTATTACAGCTATTTTAATTAAATAATCGTATAATCAAGGAAGTGTTAATTTTATTTTTTTTAAAAAACCTTTCTTACAATATAAAAGTAGATTTTACTGGGAAAATAGTGGCCTTTTTAGGACTTTACTGTTGTCAACAAGGGATATTTATGCTTATGCTTGATATAACCATTAAGGTCAATGAGGCTGGAAGTAGCCATCCCTGGTCACTTTGGATAGTGAAATGAGCAGCATATAAATTTAATAACTAAATAAAATATTACTTCAAAATGGTTCCCAGTTTAAACCTGAATGAAGTTGAACCCCGAAGACTGAAAATTTCTGGAGTTCAAATCTATATTCACCATTTCTTGGGCTGTATGTTTAATCAACATGCTTATATCTTAATAAGTCTTGTCTTAATAAGCAAATATTATAACTAGAATATGCATTCAGGTTGGAAATAAACCAATCTAAACACTAAGAGAAACAACGTGCACATGCACCTGTAACATGGTTATTAAATCATATCACACAGTTCTTCTGTGTTTGGATATTTATGTTGTAATTTTTCAGATAACTATATCATTCTGATTCTCTCTTTTTACTGGATATCTGCAAACTGCAGCCACCTCCCAGTATTGTTAACAACGTCACAGAAAAGAAACTTCAATCTTTAAATTTCACAAGGTATTGTAGTATTTTTCATTTTACAATCTCCTTTTATGTGATCTCTCCATGGACTAAGAGCAGTAAACATATGCATAACATTATAGGAAAAAAAGGCACTGTGGTTGTTGGATATGTATTAATTTGCGTCAGCAAACACACACACACACACTCTCACACTTTTTAAATTTTACTTTCTTGAATGAAAGTAAGGGGAAGATACTGCATATATAAAAAAAACTTGACAGGAATCTTGCTTCAAGTAATTAAAACAATATGGCATCTTTTTCTGGTGCTCTAAAAAATTGTCTCCAATTCTCTGGAATTACCAACAAAGTAAAGTGGCTGTGCATGCACACAGATGCAGAGCCAGCTTTCAAAGCCGCTACACAAGATGTGAAAAGGACATAGCTCCTATAATGATTCAAAGAGAGCTGCTTCATTCATGCTATTGTGCATTATGAAACATCTCTTAAAAAGCTTTTTTACAAACCTAGCATACAATACTCTTCATTTATGAAGTAATTGAATCTTGGGCTACATCAAATCTCTAAATTAATTCTGGCACTATAAAAAAAATCAGCCATTATAAGCCATGTGTTAGTGGATACATTATATTCATGCCATTATGCAGAACGTTACCTAAAATCACTCTTAAAAAAATAGATTAGCCCTGCTTTTTGCCACTAACCTGTAGTCGGTGGATTCTGGATAATATCTGACAGATTATACCCTCCTGAACTGTCGGAACGTCTTCGAGGTTTCTTTTTAGCCTTTGCTTTAGCTTTCTTGAGGAGTGCTTCTCTAATTTAAAAAAAAAATCCAAAACCAATATTGATTTCCATCTCACTAATTCCTTCAAAGTAATTAAAGTGATCATTTGTACCCTGTAATCGCTAGGCAACAGGCAGACTCCTAATTCTTTTTCAGACAATATGTTGAAATTCAGTGACATGGTTTCCCATTATATTGAGAAAGGAAACGCATAACAATTGTAGTAATTCCCCTTAACACAGAAAAAGCTCAGTGGAAAATACACCTCTGTAGGGAAGAACTCCACTCATTTTCTGTCACTGCCCCATCAACTGTGGTAGACAGTCCCAGCCATCAAAGGTTGCAATCCTTGATCTAGAAAGATCTAAAACATTATTATTCAGTATTATTCAAACTTGGCAACTTTATGATGGGTGTACTTCAACTCCCAGAATTTCCAAGCCAGATGCATCACACGTCTTAAAGTTGCCATGTTCAAAAAACACTGATTTAAAATGTCCTTCCCTCTTACTACAGCCTCTTAGATTAAAATTTCTCCAAATCCAAGATCAATGGTTTTCTAGCCCAATTTAGAAAAGCTTGACATGTTTAATTTATTCCATTCCAAGGTTCTTTCAGTATTTTGCCATTTACCTTGTACTATAACAGTGAAGTGGGCTTACTACTCATTATACAGGCTGACTAGGCTCAACACCTGAACACTGAAGTTGGCTAAACTTTTCTCCTCTTCTTTAGTTTCAATCAAGTCCATGGAAATTACAGCGGGCATTTATAGTACTCAAGAAGCATCAAAGGAAATCTTGTAAGAGAAGAGTACACAGCTCTCAACTGTTTGAGGGCTGGACCAGGCTTTCTGCAGCATAGTAAGCATCCTTCAAAGTTTTTAAGAGTGAAATTGGTGCTTTAAGGCATTACAAAGCTTTAAATACTCATTTTGCCTCCTTTGGCCCTTCCCCCAACAATAAAATGGGCCGTTTTTCGAGCCTATTCACTCTGGGGGGCTCTGAAGTCTGGCAGTTCCACTTTATTAAGAAAGATATTTAATTAAGTCAGACAGACCTAAGTGATGCATTAAGAGATATAAAATGTTCTGCCTTCTCCGGAATATAATTTAGAGTTATAGTACCGAATACTTGTGTACTATGGTACTATATGGAAGTACGTATATTTATTGTTGTATTGTTATGTTTATCATTTTATGTTGTTTGTTCTTTCTTTTTAAATGAAATGTAAATAAAGATTATTTATTTTTATTTTTTTAAAAAGAAAGATATTTAATTCCATTCCAAATGTATGACTATTTCTTAAATATTGGAGCTCTATGGTGCGGCAATGCTTCAGAGTCCTCTGGACTATCTTCTCTGGAGTGAAGCTGGACTCAAAATTCTGCAATCTAAATGCCAAAGTGTGCTACTTTGCTCAGACATTGCATTTCAGCATAAATGGTTTTATACATTTGCAAAAGACTGCAAGCCAATGTAGCAGCAGCCCCAAGATAGCTCGGAGACTCTACTATAACACTCAGATCAGACGTGGAGGTGCACTTAATGGCTACTTCGCTGTAGACTCAATTGGAAGAATGAAGAGCTTTATTCAAGCCTATTACTTCTATCAGAAGAAAAAGAATTCTCACTGCAAAGCTTGCTCTGTACTCCGCTCCTCTTTTAGGAAGACAAAGGTTTCTCCTTCCTCAGGCTCCAGAGAACTAATATCAGGACCATCTTGGTATGGAGTAATTAATCTGCGCTCCATAGCAGGAATCTGCAACATTACAAAATCTTTTTAATTTAACAATGGTGGGGGGAGGAAAGCACCAAATTTGTGCTTTTAAAAAGCTGTTAAGCTGCTGAAATTCTGGAAAAAATGTATGGTTTAAAGAGTGCTACAATGTTCTAACAGCGTTATATAATGCATGAATGAATCTCGGGGAGTAATATTATATATATATATATATATATATATATATATATATATATATATATATATATACACACCACATACATAGCCTTCTTTATCAAAAAAGTAGAAAATGTTCATGCATTTTTACTTATATTATACAAAATACAACACTGTTCTTTGGTGCCATAGGAATTTAATGCAATGTAAAAAGAAAACCAGCTGAACTAAATTATTCTCTAAATCAACCTTTTCTGCAAAGAAAAAAGCAGCATCAGGGATGGCCAAACTCTTCAGGATGCACCCACTCCTATGCATCCATAACAACATCAAGGATGGTAAAAATTAAAAATGAATTTACCAAAATCTCACAATATTTGGGCTCTTGATAGGAACACCAAATTTACAAGCATGAATGCTGAAATGTCATGGTATTTCTAGACCTAAAACCTGAAAGTTATTATAGAGAAATAATGAAATGTTGAATTGGAGTGTTCCAAAAATTTCAAAGAAATTGCAAGCATCTTGGTTCCTATCTGTTCCATGCTACCATCAGTTGTGCTGCTCAACTGGTTATACTATTTTTAGAGCTGCATTGCTAATACTAAAACCATGTTATTTTACAAAAATGAGAAACTGGTCACTCTGCCAAGATTCACTAGTGCATTTCATTTTATTTGGAACATCCCACAATATCTTTCCATAATTTTAATGAAGCACGAGATTGCATCAATGCCACTTATAATCCAAAATAAATTGGGAAGAGAATTTCAATTAAAAAAATCATTTCAAAAGAAACAATATCACTTTAATGGTCTACATTCATCCAAACAGATATGTAGAAAAAATTGTCATTACATTTCATCTTTCAAGTTATTTTAAACTCTAGTCTGTTTTAGCTAATGAGTGTGGAACTTACCATTTTTCTGTAAGAGGTAGAAAGATCTTTCAAAACTTCATCACTTAGAACATCCAGAACTCTATGACAAATACAAATGAAAATGTGGTTCAGTAATGGCATTATACCCTGCTGTGCTCCAGTAGTAATCAACGAAAGCTGAACATGTTGACTTCTGAATATTTTTTTAATTTGGTTTCTTAAAGCATAGAGCCGTGATGGCGAACCGATGGCACACGTGCCAGAGATGGCACGTAGAGCCCTCTTTGCAGGCACGCGCGCCGTTACCCCAGGTCAGATCTCAGTGGCGTTTCTTTCGTGAACTTGTTTCCCAGCCAATGACGAAAGAGAAGCTCATGAAAGCAAAAGATCTTACCTCTTTCTGCGCTGCCGGTGTTGGGATGCTCCACCTCCTGCCGGCCAGCGGGTCTTCGAGTCTCTGCTGTGCATGTGCGCATGTCCTTGCATGCACGCATGCATGTCCATGCATGCACGTGTTTGCACACATGCACCTTAGTTTTGGCCATGCGCACGTGCGCAGTTTGTGCACTCAGTGCCTAAAAGGTTCGCCATCACTGGCATAGAGTATACTGATAACAGACTTAAGTTCTAAAGTGACCAGGATTGAGAAAAAGAGGTGTTTTGAACTTGGAACAAAACAGAACCTTGAAATGAATGCATTTCATTGGAGCAAAATTTGAAACATGTCAAGTGTTTTATTTCAACCTCAAAATACAATTCTTGGAATGTGTATGTTGTGATATGAGGTCAGAACACTCAAATCGACTGTTTTGATTTCAAAACATTTCATCCATGAAAACAGAATTAGTTAAATGGCAGCATTTAAAGAAAACAAATATTGCAATATGCGGGTTCAACTTGCGGGTGATTTCATTAAATACATGGGTTATGTTGTTAGTTAATATAATTCTGTTATTCCTATTTTTAGTACTTTTGTCCTGTTTTGATTAAAAAGCAAAAGAAAATCTTGCCTCTAGAGAGTTTGATTTTGATGTCTAGGTTTTATATTTCATATTTATACAGCTTTCCAAATTGGGGGGGGGGCTAAAGGATGTGTAATCATTCAGTAAAACATATAGATATCAAAGCCCTGCTCTTACCGTGTTTCAAGTATGGCTGCCATGTTTAATACAATGAACTGCAAGCAGGACTGTTTTAGCTGTTCAGCATTATATGTGGCTGAAAATTCCAGGAGCTCAGCAGCATTCTTTAAAGTCACTGAAATTTATAAATACTGGTTATTTATTTGGAGAACATGACAGAGACAAATAAGGTGATCACTTTTCACCTACTGCCAATCGTAGAGGACCCGTACACCAAGAAAGGTTTATAACCATATTCCAGCGTATTCACAAGGTTCTACGGAATTTTCTAAAATGCATACTCATATTACACTGACAGCAGGAATTCATGTAGCATAGAGTGAAAACTTTGGGTAGCTGCACTTATTTTTTAAGAACGGGATTTGTTCTTCCATGTTTAATAAATAATATGATCATGTGCTCACTGTGATACAAGCTTCTACATTATTTTAATAGAAAATGAAAATACAACAACAATCTGAAACAAAAACTCACATTTTTCTGTAATGGCTACTTCACAAATTTCTTTTAATCGTAACATAAGGAGCTGGTCTGCCACCACTAGAACATTGCAGATGAATTCCACATTTTGAGATTCTGGAAATCAGTGAAAAATCATAACTTGAACAAATTTTCAACTCACTCTACTTACTGTCCATGGGCTAGCTAAACCAACATCACATGCTACCACTTGTAACTCCCTTTACACCAAATGGTTTCAAATGATTGGATAGAAATATCAAATTTTCCTCTAAAAGTTTCATTTTCCATAATGAATTATCTTCTTTTACCCTTTTCCTCATTTCACCTTTCTGCAAGCATATTTTTAAAAATGAATTACTATTTGCAACAGCTGCTATGGGGAATCTAGGGTGCTAATTTTAAAGGAGGAGTTCCTTCCTCATGCAATCTTAGCCTTATTTGCAGTGGAGTTTCATACCATAGTTTGGGGCTGTCACTACTACTTTCTTTTTTACTCGCAATGTCTATTCCTTACTACCCCCAATATCCACTCCCGATGTCTATCTTATCCCTAATTATGTGCAAACACGAATTTTCTCAAAGGATACCACATTTCCTATTCATTCCTAACACTACTCATTTTTATTCTAATGATGTAAGAGATATTCATGCCCTCACCATTTACTGCAACGGCTTCATCTGCGTAAATATAATCCAGGATGACCTGCAGGATTTCAGATGGGAACGGCAACTCTAGAGATGAACAACATGATGCCTATATGAAAAAGAGTTTACACAAACATTTTGAGTGCAAATCCACTTTATGATCCAGGATAATTTTGCTATAAGTATTTTCCAAAAAATATCTTCAGATTTCAAAAAACATAAGCTGGCCACACAAAATAACAATTAAGAAATAAATATCTATGATTTTCAAATAATGAAGATCATTTGCCAAATCTGTTGGTAGCCCATACCGGAATACATTATATGAAAAATTAGGTTGTTTTCATTCTTGAAAATCAGGAGGGATTTTCCCAAAATTGTTATTCTCCAAGGCATGTTTTTTTCCATAATAATCAGATTAATGCTTCTTACATTTTAGCATAAGAAGAAGTACAACAGAAGCAATATTTTTTAACCATCTCCAGATTCTACACAAATTGTGCTTCTTAATATACCTCTTATCTGAAAGATGATGGAAGCCTATCCAACGAAGAGGCTTCACAGAATTATCTTTTCAATGACATCAGTTGCCAGAAAGAAAGCTAATGCACAGAATAGAGCTAAAAAGCACGGTTGGCAGGCTCTTCTGATAGCAACTACAGATAAACGCCCTTATGTTCTCACAGCATATTGTATGGGAATTAATGATACAGTACATAGCATCCATGCCTCATCAATTGTTCTGAAATCTCAGGCCAAATGCAAACAAGGGGGAAAATCTCATATAAACACAGTATCCTGAAGACATAACTGAATTATTTGAAAAATTTTGGCAATGCTCCATTTTGGAAAATAACTGTAAGGGAGTCTACTAAATGCTCCATAGCTATTAGTCATCCACTGGCAATTTCAGTGTACACTAATTTGAAAAAGGCTCGATCTGACTTCATGCTTTCAAGATTGAATAGAAAAACCATTGAACATTCACACCACAAAAAGAATTCCCAATGCAATTGGGAATGGGAGGGCTTGGATTACTGTTAAATAACGCCGATATGTGCACATTATTAGTAATATAACAACCCATGCACGTTCAGGCACAGCCCTAGGAAATTAAGTGTCAAATCCAGCAATAAATCAGTTGCCTCTGTTATCACTGCCAATAAACCACGAAATCTCTATTTTATATTTTATTATATTGGATGTTGTTTTTAACTTCCCGAACTGTTTATGAATTGGGCGACTTTAGAAAGTTGAGTGATAAATTAAATAATAAACATGCAACAGTTAAGCCTATAGAAAAATCTATTCCATTGCAATCAAGAGAATAGCAACATACCCAAGCATTTCCATTCAGAAAAGAGATCACAGTAAAATGAATGGTTGTTGTTGCTACAGTGGTTTCTTTGTCACAAATACAATTTTTATAAAAGTTAACTCATCCTATTCTTTTAAAAGTATTCTCAACCAGAAGGGGCGTTGGTCCTGCCTGAGACGCACCTTCTCGTTGGGTGGAGACAGCAGCCAGGATGGGTATGGTCATCTGTTAGGCCAATAGACTGAGCCCATCAAATTTGCTAAGTCCCGCCCTTGTTACCGGGCAAACCCAGCTTTTGGCGAGGATCCAAAGACAGGCTCGGCGTGTGGGACACCAATACAGAGCAAAGAATAGAGACAGAACAGAAATAACAGGGCCAGACTGGCGACAGCGAGGGAGGGTCTGGCTGCTGTCTCCACCCAACGAGAAGGTGCGTCTCAGGCAGGACCAACGCCCCTTCTCCATTGTGGGTGGAGACAGCAGCCAGGATGGGACATACCAAAGATTCACGTCCCTACAACCGGGTGGGACCAGTCTGGTCCGAAGTACCCTCCCCAGAAACAACTCTCTGTAACACTCTACGACCAAAGGCGGCATCAGCCGAGGCAAATTTGTCAAGTTTGTAGTGTTGAATAAACGGAGAAGGCGAAGTCCATGTGGCCGCTCTGCATATTTCAAGCAAGGAAGCCTGAGTTGCCCAGGCAGCCGAAGTAGCGGCGCTTCGGGTAGAATGCGCCGTCAGTCGAGGAGGTCTCGGTAGAGAGCGTAATTCGTATGCCTTGGCTATCGTCTGGCGAATCCAACGCCCAATAGTCGGTGAAGAAACCTTGCCGCCCAAGGATACCGGTAGAAAAGAGACAAAAAGGGATTCCGTCTTGCGGAAATCCGCCGTCCGTTTAATGTAGATTCGTAGAGCCCGACGAACATCCAAAAGGTGCCACCGTCGTTCCAACCTGTGGGCTGGACGAGGACAAAAGTTGGGCAGGATAAGTTCCTGCATGCGGTGAAAGGTGGTATTAACTTTAGGTACAAAAGTTGGGTCCAGACGGAGAACCACACGGTCGGCATGGAACACGCAAAGGTCCTCCCGGATTGAGAGGGCAGCCAGTTCGGAAATGCGTCGGGCCGAAGTGATAGCAACCAAAAATGAAACCTTGCAGGTCAAAAGACGAAGGCTAGTCGTACGCAAAGGCTCGTACGGGGCTGTCGTAAGGGAATTAAGGACGACGGAGAGATCCCAAGTGGGGTACCTGTGCAACACAGGCGGGCAGAGATTCGTAGCTCCTCGTAGAAATCGGCGGATTAACGGGTGCTGTGTCAAAGAGGACAAGGAACCAAAGGTAAGGACCGATGAAATCGCCGCCACCTGTCTCCGCAACGTGTTGGGAGACAATCCTTTGCGAAGGCCTTCCCGTAAGAAAACTAAAATATTAACTATTGAGGCCTGTAGGGGAGGGATCCCCGCTGTATCACACCAAGCGCAGAAGGCCTTCCAAGTGGCTGAATAAATCCGGTTCGTAGACGGCCTTCTCGACGCCTGAATCACAGAGATCACGTCAGGAGGGATGTTGACCTCCCCAAGTGTATACCGCTCAAGCGCCAAGCGGTCAGACGGAGCCACTGTAAGTCTGGATGCGTCAAGGTTCCTTGGGTTAGAGCGTCCTGTGGCTGAGGTAACTGCCACGGTTGGGTTATTGACAAAGACACTAGGTCCGCAAACCAAGGTCTGCGCGGCCAATGTGGGGCCACAAGAATGATCTCCGCCTGTTCCATCAGCAACTTGCGAATCACCCGCGGAATCAGGGAAACCGGAGGAAAGGCGTATAGGAGTCCGGGTGGCCACGGGGAGCGGAGAGCATCGACGGCCTCTGCCTGAGGCGACGGGAATCGCGAGATGAAACGTGGCAGCTGAGCATTGTCCGACGTGGCAAAGAGGTCGAGTACCGGCTCCCCGAAACGAGACGTGATCAGTCGGAAGAGACGAGGGCTGAGACGCCACTCCGCATGATCTAGATGACGACGGCTGAGCCAGTCGGCTTGTAGATTGGTGACCCCGGAAATATGTTCTGCCCGTAACGAAGTCAGGTGGACCTCCGACCATAGTCCCAACCGTAACGCCTCCGACATCAGAGAGAGAGACCGCGTGCCTCCCTGGCGGTTGACATGGGCCTTCGCTGTAATGTTGTCCGTGAGGACCAAGACGTGTGAATTGGAGACGAGACGATGAAAGGCCCGAAGAGCCAGGAAGATTGCCCGCAGTTCCAGCCAGTTGATAGAACGACGGGACTCGGCGGATGTCCAGATGCCCTGGGTCAGGTGACCCCGACAATGAGCACCCCAACCCTGGAGACTGGCGTCCGTTGTCACCACCACTCTCTGTGGATCAAAGAAAAAACAACCCCGGGAAAGTGCTGGAGAACGCCACCACCTGAGAGACCTAATCACCTTCCTAGGGACAGAAACCCTCCTGGGAGAAGTACCCCTACCCGCCTTTTGCAGAGGTAACAGGAACCACTGAAGTTCCCTAGAGTGCAGTTGTGCCCAAGGAACTAATGAGATGGCGGAAATCATCTTACCCAGGAGTCGAGACAGGATTAGGGGAGAGGAAGAAGGAGACCGTTCAACAGTGGCAACCAGGGATCTCAAACTCTCCTGCCTCTCGTCCGAGAGGAAGACCTTCCCAGCCACCGAATCTATCAGAGCCCCCAAGTGAACCAAGGCAGTGGTGGGAACCAACTGACTTTTTTCCAAATTAACTGAAAACCCGTGGGCCGAAAGGGAGTGGAGAGTGAATTGTAAATCAGCAAGAGCTTGTTGAGGCGTAGGAGACAGAATCAGAATATCGTCCAGATAACATTGTAATCGAATAGACTTAGCCCTGAGGGAAGCTGCCAGAGCAGCTAGTACCTTAGTAAAGGTACGAGGGGCAGAGGAAAGGCCAAATGGCATGGCCCGATATTGATAATGGTGGCCCCCGTAACAGAATCTAAGGAATTTTCTATGGGCAGGGAGGATGGGTATGTGGAGATAGGCCTCAGTGAGGTCTATGGAAGAGAGGAGATCGCCCCTCCTGACACCGTCCAAAATAGATCTAAGGGAGTGCATTTTAAACTTTCGATACCGGACGTACCGATTGAGACGTTTGAGGTCCAGAATGGGTCTCCACCCCCCCGAGGACTTGGGAACAAGGAAAACGCGGGAATAAAATCCCTCGCCCCGCTCTAACACGGGAACTGGTTGAATAGCCCTGATCAAAAGAAGGTGCTGAACCGCCAAATCCATAAGGGATCGTTTCTGGATATCGTTAGAGAGCGGACAGCAAACAAAAGACCTCGGAGGGGGGGAGATGAATTCAATGGCCAACCCGGATCGAAGGGTGGCCAGAACCCATCTGTCTGAAGTGGAACCTTCCCAAGCGGGGACGAAAAGAGCCAATCGGCCCCCTATGGGCGGATCCGGAGTGCACTTAACGACGGCGACCGGAGAAACGACCTCCTCCCCCTCGAAAGGGCCGTTTGGGGACAAAGGTCCTACCTCTGGGAGGTCTGTCCTGAACGCCCCGTTGCCGAGGTTGAAAGTTCCCCTGCGACCTAGGGAAGGAAGAGGAAGAGGAAGGTCCATCATAGGGGCGAGATTGGGGGCGAGACGGGTACGGGCGAAACCTGGAATCCCCCCTACGAAAAACCACCGGAAGAAATTTCTTCTTGTCCTTTGTCTCCGAAAGAAAAGGATCGAGGGAGTCCCCGAACAGTTTGGAGCCCGCAAAAGGAACCGACGCCAGGCGCCATTTATGCCTGGTGTCGGCCTGCCAGTAGCGTAGCCAGACCAATCGGCGCGCTGTAACCGCAGAAGCTAGAGACTTGGCCGCAAAACGAGCAGTATTCAAAGTTGCGTCTGCTGAAAACTGCGTGGCGGCAATAATCTTGCTGAGATCTTGCCGTACCCGGACGTCCTCCGTAGACAACGACTCTTGTAATTGCCGAAGCCATAACAGAGTTGTCCGGTTAAAAAAGGAGGCCGTTGAAGCTGCACGGATGGCCCAAGAGGCACTTTGGTGGGCTCGTTGTAACACATGTTCAGCACGGCGCTCCTCCGGGCGAAGTCCTTCCTCAGGGTCACCGGGAACCGCCGAGTGAGGTAGGAGGGCAGCCACGGGAGCGTCCACAGACGGGATCTGGAGAAGCGAGTCTAGATCCGGAGCGATGCTAAAGTTCCGACGATCAGTCACTGTAGGCGTCAGAGCAGAACCCGGCGTAGACCACTGTTTCTTAATAACATCAAGAAACAAGGGAGGAGTGGGGATGGTATCTACCGTCCTAGAAGGTTCAGCGAAGAGAGGACTCAAGGTACCTTTGATGTCCGAAGTAGAAGTTGGCAGCGGGGAAGGAGAACCAAGCTGGGCCGTAGCAATGGCCTTGTGTAATAGCGATTTAAACAAGGCCTGGGGAAAAATGCCCGTAAAGGCGGGCTGCTCAGGAGGAAGGTCCTCATCCTCCGAAAGCTCCAGGTCGTGAGGCTCATCAGTCACCTGAGAAGGAGACCCGCTTGCCATAGAAGAGACAGGGGAGTCCGGGGCATTGACAGACAAAGCGTCTTCCTGCTCCCTATTCTCCCTGGCCGGGGAGACGACGGAGCGTACCGAGGCCGCCCTACTAGAGGGCTGAAAATGCGACGCCTAAGACTGTTGAACCGCTGCAGCTATCATCTGCTGTATCTGTTCTTGGGATGGAAAGAAATGATGTTGCGGTCCCGCTGGCACAGTCTCTCCAAAAGGTGGGGCTGGGGGGGCTTCCGCTGAAGGAGTCGCAGTCAGTGATGTAGAAGAACCCCATAGACCGGTCGTCTCAATGACCGCCGGGCAGTCCTGGAGGGAGAGATGGTCCCCTTGTGCACCAGAACCAAGTCCCGTAGAGGCGTGAGGTGAAGTGGATGAAGCCTCGTTGACGGGCGACTGAACACCGCTGGCTTTGGCGCATATCTTTTGTAGAACCTTGTCCCTGCGAGCTTCCGCCCGGGAAGGAAGAAGATGAGTAGCCGCCTTGCTTCGAGGCCGAGGGGGGTCAGAAGGATCCAGTCTGGAAGAAGCTGCAGCAGAGTCGCCCGTGACGGCAGGGATGTCCCCACGATGATGATGATGAGAGTCGGAGCTCCCCGCCTTTCTGCCATGTTTAGACTTGTGGGAAGCTTTAGGCATGATGACAGAGAGCAGTGTTACAACAGTCCAAGAATTGCCCAGAAACAAATACAGTGGATTAGCCCCAGAATTTAATTGTTGGGAGCGTAGACAAACTCCACCTGCAATTACCAAGAACGCCCTGATGACACTAAGGTGTGTAGGGAGCACCAGTAGCAGCCCGTAACAGGAGACAAGGGTGGAGGGGGGGCGCGAAGCCCCACTTCAAAGTGCCCGTTTAAGAGACAATCTGTCCACCCAGAAGGGGAGGTGGGGGGGGGGGGCGCGAAGCTCCGCCAGTTATTAGGTCAGACAAATACTTCCAATAATGACAAGGGCCTGGAGGCAGTTGGATAAATGCCAGAATAAGTTTTCGCGCCAGAAAGGGCCTCCGCCGCCCAGCGACTCAGGAGGAATGGCGCCTGAGCCGATGGCCCCTCCCAGCGTCTAGCGCGGCGAAATTAGCCCCCAAAGCACGCTCAGTTGTTAAAAACGCTGGTGGTCGAAGGGAAGAGTCTGGCTGCCTCCCTCGATGCCGTCGGGAGCGTAAAACTCCACCCGAACACAACCCACGTTGTAATTGCAATGCAAACGGCAAATAGAAAAAAACGGGGCACTTTGAAATCCAAAATGGCCGCCGGGAGCTTCTGAAGGGGGCGCGAAGCTCCACAGACGGCTAGAAATGCTCTGGAGACCCGAAAAGGCCAGGAGAGAGTGGAAAGGGAGCGCGGACACTCCACGAAGGCTCAAAGGCTTCCCCCAATTAAACTAAAAGGAAAGGGAATGTCCTCCCCCCCCCAAGCCACTGGCAAGGCCAGCTAATGGGGAAAGGGAGAAACGACCTACTTCCCTGTTTACTGAAGCTGTAATCGCAATCCAAAGAAGTCCAAATCACAATCCAAGTCAAACCAGGAAGACAAGTGAGAAAATATTATTTCAGATAGGCAAGAAGCAGCCAGGAAAGGTAGAAAGGATCAAGAGGATCAGTCCCACACGCCTGTCTAGGCTGACAGACTGAGCCAAAAGCTGGGTTTGCCCGGTAACAAGGGCGGGACTTAGCAAATTTGATGGGCTCAGTCTATTGGCCTAACAGATGACCATACCCATCCTGGCTGCTGTCTCCACCCACAATGGAGAATATTCTTTTTAAATGCTCCTTTATCTATTAAAAATCTACTAAACTTTACTAAGGCTATTTTTGATAAGCAATGAGGACATTTAAATTTTCTTCCGTGTGAACAGTTTTATTATTAACTGGCGTTTTAATATTTCATTTTTCCCTGAATATCCGAAGTTCCTCCCACTAAGCAAGGTCCTGCTTCCTATTGTTATATTTACATATATCATGTCATTAAAATTTATCAATATAGTGCAGGTAATATTTAATATGTATTAAAATGAAGTAACTATACATTCTTTAATCAATTATACAAAAAAGAAAATACTGCTTTATTCTTGAATGATTTTTATTTTCTTAAAAGGATATAATCCTCAATGCTGCATGGCATTACTTTAATTTACTTTGTAAGAAAATAATTTTCTCCACATAATCCCCAATAAATACTTTTGCACTTTAAAAAAAAGGCATTGGTAACGGATCTGCACACTCACCTCAATCCAGGAGTTGCTCAGCATGCTGTGAAAGTAGTCTGCAAAGGAAAGAGATTTCATTCTGTCATATATTAAAAAGACCCAGAACTATTAATAAACTAAGCAAGCCACCTTATATTATACCTACCAAGTTTGGCACAGAGCACACATTTGTGGCATGGGAATTCCTTTCCATCTTTAGACTTGATAGTCACATCACAAAGGTGTGAACTGGAAAAAAATGACATCATTATATAGAATACAATATATACAAATATTACACTAATTAACCAAAAACAGCAGTTTATTGCTTACAAAGCTTAACATGTAAACACACAATGTATTTATTTAATTTTAAGTTGTAATTTTACAAAAACAAATTTGTGATTGAAAACAACAATCAGTGCTAGATTTTGTCCTTGCTGACTGAAGACGCTTGTAGACATCAATTTGATTTCATCTTGCCCATCTAGAAATGTGCATTTGTAGAGCCATATTTTAGGTTGTTTGGATAATAAATTTGGAAAAATTGTTATAAATATTGAAATTATTTTCACAGAATTCTTATCAGTTACTATCCTGCTTTATTTTATACACCCAAAGCCATTTTCCCCACTACTTAGATGCTATTTATTTCTTCCCTGAGCTCTTACATGTCCTAACATTAGCATATCTTTGTTGTTGTTGTTGTTGTTGAGTCAGCAAGATGTTGCAAGCCACAATACATTCCTCTGCTCCTATTATTGGAGAGGTATCATCAAATTGCTGATTGGTTTGCCTAGCATTCAAGTTGAGATTATTGTATCATTTTTGGGTTGTATTGCAGAACTGACTTTGACTTCTATGGAGATTGTCCATCCAGGTCATGGTTGACTCAAAGGAGCTTTTTTCAAGAGGCAAACCTCTTGAGAACTGAAGAAACTTCTTGGATGAGAAGCAAAACGTCTTCAAAGAAAAACCAGAAAGTCCAGTTGCTTCTTGAAAAAGCACCTTTGCAATGACTTTGGCTTTCTTTTGTTAACTGATGCTCCTTTATTTCATTATCTTCTTGCCTGCATTAGATGCAATGTTACTCTGATGTTGTTCCATTCCATTTCAATTTGCTGATTCCAGGAATGTCCATGTCCAGTATTGATATTTCTATCTGACAACATCATGTTTGCTTTGGTTCATCATTCTGCCATTCCATATACCAACGTTGCAATGCTAAACTTTCTTTTGCTTCTGGTCACATCAGCATTGGCTTCAGTCCAAAATAAATCACCAGCATTACTTACCTCTGCTCTTTCCCAAAAGCTCATTGGATAGCTTCTGACCCAAAGAGTACCTTCTAGTATAATACTGACATTGAATGGATTGCGAGTATCCTTTTGGTTTTCTTGACAAAATGGATTAGACCGTCGTTTTCTTTTCCAGGGGATCTTGTTTATTCTTATTCCCCCTACTAAGTTCAGCCTATCATGGATGACTCTTCTTGGAGTATATGCTCTGAATACCATAGCCATCAGAGCCATCACTGAGGTGTGAAATCCCTTCACCACAATTCAGGAAGAGTAGTTTCTAGATTACCCGTTGGTTTATTTGGCCTTGTAACCCCCACCTCTTTCAAATCCTATAAACTCACCATTTTTTCTGACTGAACTTTGGTTTGTTGCCATTTTTTCTGTTCACAACATTAACTCTTCCATTTTCTATCCTGATTCCATCTAGCCTGCGTGAAAATAAAAATAAAAAAATCACATTTGTTATTACAAGAATTTATTTTGAAAATAATAATAAATAACCAACAGAAAATTCATCTGCCGAAGTTCAATACATGGTATTTTTCCAGTAGCGAGTGCACTTTTTTTCAGAATTAGAAAAATGTCTGCTTTCGCATGCATTTGTTTGTCTGTGCCAGCAAAGTAAAAAGATTATGAAGGCTTCCTACAAACAGGAAAGGAATCAGGGAAGCTAAACAGGATTATGGTAAAGTCCATAACTAATTTGTATAATTATGTTACTATATTTTGAGTAGCAAAGTAAATGCAGTAGAATGTACACTGTCAACTTATACAAACAAGATGCTACTTCAGTTGTTAACTTTCTGCATATTTTTAAATGAGTTCAGCTGTATGGTTCAAACCGTGGTGGATCCCTCCTCTTAAGAATATTTTTTGTTCATAAAACTTAGATACAACACTGTACGTAATTAAATACAGAAAGCCTCATGTTTTCAAATATATTTTTTCTGAATGTAGAACACATTACCAGACACATCAATATTTGGCCCAGATACTAACCTGAAGATTAAACTCTTATGTGTGTGGAGGGAGGGGGTAAATCACACATACAAAATCATAAAAAGGTATCACATACCTTGAACTTAAATTACTAAGACCAAATTTCTTTGCAGCAATTTGCAACATTTTAACGAGATTCATTTCTTCTCCAACATCTTTGCATTTTTTAGAAGTGGATTTTGATTTACTTCTCTGTTTTTCATTCATCATCTGCACTTGGTTGCGTCTATAAACCGCAAATGCAGACTTGTTATTAACGTCCCCATGAACAGCCATTTTATTCAAGCTTGTAATTAAGTTGTCTTCATTCTCTTCCACTCTTTCTTTGTACATCATTCTGGGCCTGTAGCCATGAATCAGCAGATCACATGAGTCTGTATAAATGTACTGGAGAAGGTACATAAACAGGTCTGGATGAAGTTTCTCCATCACGAACAGATCACAACCAACTTCGTCTTTATCTTTACGATACAGGTCAGCAGAATCTAACCAGTTTGGGTCTGATACAAAGAGTTTCCGGAAAAAATCAGAGCGCATTGCCAACATGTATTTGTGCACAGGAAAAGTCCGAGTGCCAACCTGAAAAGTAACATCATGGATAGTGTCCATAACTTCAGCTTCTCTCAACAACTTTCCAAAATCTTCAGTAATGGTGGAGCTTGACACATTTGGAATTTCATACAAACTGGAAGAAAAAAGAGCACAAGCATTAATTTTTCCAAGAAATCCAGCTTTTAATATATCCTGTAAAAATCTTCAGGTGTAATAGAAAGAGAAAGCAACAATTTTAAAAATACAAATTTTTAACCTGCTGATGAACATGAAACAAAAACACAATGAACACAATCTTGCCCTGGATATATACAGTAGGTGCCTTTTAGATATGCTCAAGTTTTGGAAGAGGGAACGTGGGAAGCTCTCAACTGCTGACTGTAAGTATCTTGAATAAAAAACATTCATTCTTATCTATGTTTTAACAATTTAAAAAACATTTTCCCATTCTGAAGATTTAATATGCTATTATTTCTTATTGTATTTCAACCCATATTTTGCTTCGTTTTTGAAATATAGCCCAATATTGTTTTCTCTGCTGACAGCAAAGCTGGATTAATTACCCTTTTCTTAGTCAGGTAAGAGTACAAACTTGAATGCTAATATTTAGCAATTAAATATTTTGCATAATTTGCATAAAGGCATAAATAATCAGAAGGACGAATTTTCAGTTCACCAGCACTATTCCCTCCAGAAGTTGCAAAGGGAAAGGTTATTGCAATATGTACTCAAACCTTGTTTTGGGATCTGACTGTAAAACAGCAAAATTATATCCATTAGGATCTGTCGTAATACTGACTGCTCTATGCACAAAAGCAAGTTTCTCAAGTTGTATTCGTTCATATGTATTGTTTGCATCATAGGATGAGATATCACTTGAAGAATTCTGAAGATTTGACACCATATCTGTAAAATAAAGAAAAAATTAATTAGGTGATCAGCAGAGGAACATAAATATTTTTGAGTAATTTTACTGATTACACCTATGCTAAAAGTTTATAGATTCAAATTTCTATTAAGAATCATATCTAGTTTGCTTTCTAAATTGTTCTTGAAATCAGGCCCAAAACCACAAGGGGACTTGGCTTGCTGTCAGTTTCCTCTCTGGGCTTCTAAATTTTTACCCATAGTTTAGCAAACTGAGGATTTCTAAAACTTTCAAAGGATCTTAAGAGTAAGAGTATAGATAGACAATAATGATTCTTTTTTTTTTTTCTTTAAGGGTTCTTAGATCTGACAGCTACATTCTTTTCACCCAAAGACACTGCTTCCGCTGAGATTTTTCATCACGTTGGATTTTATTTACATATTTATTTATTTATTTAAGCAAGATACAATTATTTAAGTACTAAGCACTTGTTAGCTTTAAGCATAAGACAAGCAGGCTCCATCTTAGGCTTCTCTAGGGTCTGCAGCTCACACCAACTCAGACATAGCGGGCACCTTCCCATACCAGAATGCAAACATCTTTAGTCCACATTTGTGAATGAGGCAAGGCTCTTGCTCATCTGCACTACGAAATATCTCTTCAGAATTCTTTAGGTGATATCTCATCTTATGATGCAAACCATGCATATAAACGAATATAACTTGAGAAACTTGCTTTTGTGCACAGAGCAGTCAGTAACACAACAGATCCTAATGGATGTAATTTTGTTGTTTTAGATCCCAATCCCTCTCTCTACGCAAGAAAATGGAAAACTGTTTAAATGTTTTAAATTTAATCAATCTTGCAGCAGAACTGGAAGAGGAAATAGAGAAGCTCGGTACTATGGCTAGGAAAAGAAAGAACCAGCAGAGTTCTCAGCCTAATGGAGGCTGAAATCGGAAAGAAGATGGAAAAAGCTGGAAAAAGCAGAGCAGAGAATTTTGCTTCAGGAATCTATTTTTCTCTAAGGAAAAAGATAAACAAGTCGAGCAAGAAAATTTCATTAGAAATTTGATATTTATCTGTCTACGTGGTATTAGTTAAGCTTCATTGCTGTGTCTTGTGCTTATTTTTCCTGTGGAAGTAGGATGTGTATCTCATTATTCCTATCAAAGGCTATATCCAAGATTTGGGGTGGGGGTTCTTTATTAACTTCTTATGAACTAAAAGATACCCTTTAAGCAGTTTCTATTTCAATCTTACTAATTGTAGCAGACCACTGCCATCCTGTGGAAAGGCTAGAACACTGCATAAAACCTGCACCACTATAGCCTCATATGAGAGACCATTGAAAATAAATGGAAAAAAGGACTAACTTTCAGGTTTAACACACAGAAATTTATTTTAAAGGTTTTTCTAATATAAATAGTATTATTGAAAGGTTTATCCTCCTTAAATTATTATCTTTCACTGCATTTTTGCCAACTATCTTAAAATTTTATTATTTTTTACATTTTTTTAAATAAACCCTCATGACTTCAAAGAAAATATTCTTAATTTGCCAGCAATAAATTGAATAATTCCTAATATGAGCACTTTACCAGATGAAGAAAATGCTGAATCTAACCTTCATCTACTATATCCGTGGCTGCTTTGGAAATAAAATTTATTACTGTGACATCACAAATGCAGCTGATTTTTCAAAACCTTAACATCAAACTCAGTAATGCACAACTTCACTTTTTTATCAAATCCAAGGACTACGGGCAGTTTTCACTTAATAAAGGGTTGTGGTTGTAAATCAAGGACTACCTATATAATGCCTGGCTAAATAGAGAGAATCCAGTATATCTGGTTTAAGCAGTTGAGGTGATTAGAGTATTAAATAAATATGCTGCATTTAGTTTTCTTTGTTTTGTAAGTACAAGATACATTAACTGAAAGCAAACAGGAAGAAAAAAGAAAAAGCTTTTCCAAGCATACAAAATTACAAGCCCTAAAATTTGATTGGCTAATTTTCTGGAGCAACAAAGGAAAGTATTAACAGGTGAAAGACATATCAGAGACATATACATATATTAGAGTACATATCTTGTTTTTTAAAATATCTCAAAATATTTAGAACCAACCTAAATATGCTTAGTTAGGGAAAAAAATCAATCGTCTATAGCATAATTGTAGTTTAAAAGATATATTGGTTTATGACATCATGTCAACTGAAATTCTAGGGCAAGGGTCCCCAACCAGCAGGCTACAGCCCACTACCAGGCCATAAACTGTTCCTACCGCTCGTGTGGAACTATCTCCCCTCCCATCTGCTGGTCCGCAAAGCCAGAAAAGTTGAGGAACTATGTTCTGGAGTTATTCCCCTAGGATTGTTATCACAAAATGGGCAGCTGTATAAGTGTGTGTGTGTGTAAAGTATTAACATTTTAATAATGTTTAATAACTTTACATTGGTAAAGTAATAACATTTTAATAATAAGCACATATTCCATCAGTTTTATATATACATCTATACTATTTCAATACGCTAGATGGCACTAACCAGTCAGATTCCTTCTGCTCTACTGTATAATATTGTCTCAGCTGTCAGCAGTCCTACTTACCTCAGTAAAATTGCCATCATGATATGTAATTTTTAATTTTGTGTCTGTACACATAAAGTTCAGAAATAATTACGACCACAATTGAGAACAAAATTTCTGAGGTTAAATGAGACATTTGTTAAGTGAGTTTTGTCCCATTTTACAACTTTTCTGGCCACATTTGTTAAGTGAATCACCACAGTCAATAAGTTAGTAACACGGTTGTTAAGTGAATCTGGATTCCCCATTGACTTCTTTTGTCAAAAGGTCGCAAAAGTCGATGACATGACCCCAGGACACTGCAACTGTCATAAATGTGAGTCGGTTGCCAAGCATCCTAATGTAAATCACATGACCATAGGGATGCTGCAATGTTCATAAGTGTGAAAAATGATCATAAGTCACTTTTTCCATGCCGCTGTAACTTCAAACGGTCACTAAGTGAATGGTTGTAAGTTGAAGACTACCTGTATGAGTGAAATTAAATGTTATTTTTTCACTGAGGGAATTGCTTCTGTTAGGTAAACATAAAACTGCAATTTGCCACTTTCGCTGCAACTTTCTCATGTGCTCCCAAAATCTTCTCAGCACAGAGAAAGGACAAACCAGACTATAAAGGCAGACAAATGCTGACTGCAGGGGAAAAGGAATGGGATGCGTGCCTATTCTTTTCATTTCATATCCAGGAGGTTCATGCTAATACATATCCAAAAATGATTAAATTTTAAGGCTTCAGTTTTGTCAAAAGGTTAACTGACCTCTCTTTTCTGAATGTCTGTTCCCATCCATCCATTTTCCCTTAAAAGCTTCACCATCCTGTGTAACAAACATAATTTCATTCCTATTTAGAAAAACATCAGACATATACACTTGGCGACCATAGATCCATCGACACTGCCTCATTGGACTATTGGCAGATTTCCAGCACAACACCTAAAACATAACATTAAAAAAGGGGGAAAGAAAAATAGGTCAGTCTAATAGTGGCACTCTATATCTTCATTCTCCACTTATTATAGCAATAGCACTTAGACTTATATACCGTTTTACAGTGCTTTACAGCCCTTTCTAAGTGGTTTACAGAATCAGCATATTGCCCCCAACAATCTGGGTCCTCATTTTACCAACCTCAGAGGGATGGAAGGCTGAGTCAACCTTGAATCTGGTGGGATTTGAACTGCCAAATTGCAGGCAGCCAGCAGTCAGCAGAAGTAGCCTGCAGTATTGCACTTTAACCACTGCGCTACCAAGGCTCTGTACTTATTTTCTGTACTGAGAAGTCAATAGAGCCATTCTGGCTTCAGAAACTTAACTGTCTCTATGACTCTATTGATGCAACTCTACATAATTGTTAACCAATTCAAAAAGGAAATTTTCAGTGTTAGAAAGGGGGAAAGGAGGGGGGAAAGTACAATAAGCATACTTATTGTATGCTGTCCAGATGCAGCAATGGAGGGGGAGAGGAAGAGACAACTTACTCTTCCAGCTTGATCCAGTGCAAGAATATAAATCCTCAGACCTCCGTTTTCTTTAAGATGTTGAGGATTCACCCTGTAATCCAAATGGCCTCCACTTACAAGAACCTTTTTTAGGTTAAGTTGCCTAAACAAGGACACAAAAGAATTTATGCCGACATAAACAAGAATAAGAACAGAAAAAGAAATCTCACTTGGCTATTTAAAAAGTGTGTTATTAATGAAAAAACTGCAGTATTGACATAGCCCAATGACTAAACAAAGAGAACATGATACAGTAACCTTTCTTACTCCTAAACGAACATCACATCTGTACAATAAGCCAATGTGACATTTTGTCCTATTCTGTTGCTAACATTTTGCTTCACAAATCATGCAATACCTACCACACAACTATTTTTTTTAAAAAAAAATATTGTGCATCAATAAAAACAACACAATCTATTGACTGCAAGATAGTATCTGAAAGTATCACTTGAAATGCAAAAGAAAAATACGACGGTAACATTCAAAATTTCCTTACAACTCACAGCGAGAGTTAAAAAGTGCACTGGCTTAAAATCCTTAACCTTGGAGACAACTGGAGAGTTAAAATAGTTAAAATCTAGATAAGGCCATTCTGGGTTGAAATATCAATGTAAACACAATAAATCATTTTAACAAACCATAATCCTTTCAGCTTTCTTTATACTCAATAAATCAAACTGACTCTACAAGTTGCATAATTAAATTGTAAAGATTACTGACAAGAATGCATGCAAAGTTGCTTGGGCACCTGAAAAGAGAAAGTTAAGCATTATTTTTAAGAAAACATTCTAGTTGCAGATTCAAGTAAGCTGAAAAGAATTTGATGATAATGATTCAAATGATAGTCAGAATCTAGGCAATCAAAATTTGAGAAATCCAAAAATCCATATATAGTAGTATCAAGTTATAATTTTAAAAGATCATAGATTTGCATTTAAACATTTATAGAAATTCCATTTTTGCAATAACTTACGCTAAACAAAATACAATTTACATTCGCTACACTATCAGCATTTGGAGTAACATGCTGGAGCTGTATTCCAAAAAACAAGGCCTAGAAAAAACTGGGTTTTTTATATTGAAATTTCACTAAAATTAAATACTGATTACATGCAGTTGACAATGTGATATTACATTGCATACAAAAAATGGGTACCACACATTCTTCAGGCAGAATTGATCCAATCAGCCAGCCTGTTACAGGAAAAGCCATTACTATTATCAGGTGAGATGGGCCAAAACTCAAGAAGGACCAAGTCTCATTCAAATTTCATTCTAGAAGATGTTCAAAATTAAGTTTGGTGTTTGGATATTGACTGATGACTTCTTGATTTCAATGTACTATTATGACCTTTGGATTATTATTTCATTTTTACATTTATTTTAATGCTGTTTACCATGGATGTTTACCATATTTTTTGGAATATAAGACACACCTTCTCCCCCCCCCCAAAAGAGGGTGAAAATTTGGGTACGTCTTATACACCGAATGTAACCCTGCCCACTCGCACCCTTCGGCCTCCGTGCGTCCTCTCAAATGGAGAGCCTCTCAAACAGCCTCCAAAAGGAGCTTCTCTTTGCAAAGGCAGCCTCTCAAATGGAGCTTTTGGAAGGTAAAAAAATGAGGCGCAGAGGCGAAAATGGCAACCCGGAACAGCTGCTACTTTGTCGGACCGGTTCCGCATTTCCCCTGCTGTACTCATTGGAGCGCCCTGCGACAATCAGCTGCATTTTTGAAGCTGTGTATTTACCCCAATGAGGCGTGTGCGAGTGTAGTGCGCACACTCACAACCAGCAAACCTGTTACTAAAGTTCACCTCTGGGAACAGCTGATTGGGGGTATTCCGGGAAGCTGATCCAGCCGCCAATCAGCTGCTCGTGCTGAATCAGGCTAACGTGCTGAAGCTGACCAGGCTGTTTGCTAAGGACGCTAGCCAGATGAATACCGATGGATGCTGGTAGGCAGAGGCAGAATTTTTTTTTCTCATTTTCCTCCCCCAAAACTAAGATGCATCTTATACTCCAGAGTGTCTTATACTCCAAAAAATATGGTATATTTCAATTTACCATGGACATTTTATGGGTATACAGCATTGCAAGTCTTATGGGATTTGGTGGTATACTAGCTGACTGACTGGTGACTAAAGAGATGAAAAAATGAATATAGGCATATATTTCCACTTAATTCTCTTAAGAACACTCTTAAGAACACAGACTTTCTCTGCAAACAATGCTGCATACTAACTATCAAATAAATTTCAATAAGCCCAACATCATTCTGTCACAGCTACCGTCACAAGCCAAATAAGTAGAATTTCATGTGTAAATAAAAGGTGACTTATTAGAGGGGGTTAGTCTCCAGAAAAATGCATCAGGCTGCTTGCCTGCCAGCTGTCACATGGCTACCCAAAACCAAATCAGCCTTTGGCCAAAATTATTGCCCCAACTCTGCAATAGAATTTTGAAACTAAAAGCAGCAGAATTATTTATATCTGATTTACATTTTAATTCTAGGGGCATCATAATTCACTTTTAGTGGGCAAAATTACATTATTATTATTATTACAATATTAATTTGTAGCACTTTAAAAACTAAAAAAAGGTGCTATAATAAAATATTGTAAGTGGCCCCCATTTCATTGCTTTAACAGACTAACATAGGTACTATTCAGAAAATGTTAAATATGGGATTTTTTTCACTAAAGTTCATTCTCTGGGAAAAAATGTTCAAAACTTGAATATTTTTAAAGGATTTCTATGTTTACAAACTAGATTTGCTTTATATTGTCTTGTGTTCCTGCAGTACTATACTAAAAAAAAAATAGATTGCATCCAGGCCAGCTCTACGTGCAAAAGCCTATTTCACACAACTGGCAGAACAGTCTAGACAAAGATTTGTACAACTATACAATGGAGCAAGCAATATTAATTCTTCCACATGCAATCTCCTGCATCACAACTCAAATAGCCTAGAATTAGATGACAGCAATATTGGTATGCTCAAAACAGAAGATTTTGCAAAAAAAAACAAACCCAAAAACCCCCAACAACCACAGCCTTTCAATCTGTTGACATAGTTTTAAAAAATTCAGGAAGAGCAGCTTAGACAATTCTCTGGAAAAAAAAACCACTCACTTGGAAGCAATCTTCTTGCACTGATAGTCACTAAGCAAATAGATGTCTCCTTTTTCAGTAACACAAACTGTGGCACCATCACTTGCAGTGACAAAGGACATACTGATGTCCTTATGATGTAGAGCAGAGACTTGGCGAGGAGAAGTTACACACTTCTCTCCATTAGGATCTAGCAAGTATCCTACAATGTAAGAGAATACCCTAAATGTCAAGTTTTCCAGATCTAGAATTATTTGGCATTTAAGCACAATTCTTTTCTTATTAAGAAAGGCAGAAATAAGTATTTTCCATTCACCCACTTGCACTTGCCTGGAGGATCAAAAAAATAATTGTAAACATATGCCAATATATGAAGCAGCCTTATACTGATTTAGTCCAGTATCCCACCACACTCAGCACTTTTTTATTCTGATCAGTAACAATGTTCCAGGATCTTCTTGCCAAAGAACAGATCTTTTGTAATGAAACCACATTAAAAGGGAACACTGGAAAAAGTTACAGATTACAGCATGGAAAGAAGGTCACAAAATCTGTTTATTATATGAATAATTGCACAACATTCTGTTTAGCATATCACTAAAAGCCAACCTTATAGGGAGTATCCAACTATATGAAAACATTTTACAAACAAAACTTTACCCCTAATACAATTAATATGTATACCTTTACTTGGAACACATTTATCTGAAAGGGTCTTAAAACTATATAATTTCATACAGAGTCATAATGCAACCTTTTACCAGTCTGAATCCATTGCTAAATTTACAGATTACACTCACATACTCTTCCAAGGATCCTTGTAAATGTTTCTAAAATTTGTACCCATGTTTCCTTGATTATGTAGCTCCTAAATTGATACATATTTGAGTTCAGTTTCATTTAATTACAAAATTCTGTGTTTTCCACATTAAAGGTATTTACATTCTTAATATTAAGCTTGGAGGAATTCTTTTAGTTTCTTAGAATAATCCTTCCTTTTGTGAGGGTGGGCAGGAACATTCATTGCATAGACAAGATATATAGAGAGAGGGCTAGAAAGTAAAGGAAATCCAATAGCTAAGAAAAAAACTGCAATATGAAAAATCAACAACTTCCCAAGGGCATAGTTAGCTTTAACCATTAACAGCACTACTTCAAATACATGTCAACTTTGGTATCTCATTATGGTACCGCAAGTAGATTGTAAAAAATTTAGTAACATTTAAGACCCAAAACATCAAATGTTTTTTATTCCCTCTCACCTAATTGTCCACCATTCAGTCCCATTGTATAGACTGCTTCTTTGGTCCATAATACTGAATGGAATCTCCCTGCAGCCACACCAATCACTGTCCTTCCCTTAAGATTTTTTGCTTGTATCTGTTTTAAAAAAGCCCACAAACATACATACAGGTGTCATAAATCAAATCAGTTTAGCCCTGAATCTAAAGAACAGGAAAACAACAGAATTCAACAAAGACATTTTAATTCATAAATTAAAAAATAAGAAACATATATTATTTAATCAGCCATTGCAAAAGAGATGATGAACACTGCCATAGTGACACCACAATTCTGAAATTCCCTTCTCAGGGAAAGTTGCCAAGCGATCTCTTTTTAGTTTTAGATGTCAGAGAGAAACATTTTTCATCCAGCAGGCTTGGACACCTTTCAGTTATTTCGAAGAACTCTTAATTGCTAAAGAGCTTTTTAAGAGCTTGCAATATTCCCTTAGATTGCTATGTTCTTTAATATTTTATTGTTGTCATCTGTTTGGCTCATGTTTGGATTAAAAGCACCAAGAATGATGTTAATCATAATAAAATGCTTGTTTGTTTTTTTTAAATTTGATTTATATGCCGCCCTTCTCCGAAGACTCAGGGCGGCTTAGAATGTGCACAGCAATAGCCTTCATCCTTTTGTATATTTATACAAAGTCAGCTTATTGCCCCCACAAACTGGGTCCTCATTTCACCTACCTTAGAAAGGATGGAAGGCTGAGTCAACCTTGAGCCTAGGCGAGATTCGAACCCTGCAGTAATTGCAGGCAGCTGGTCTTAATAAGCTTAATAACAGGGTGCCTTAAACCCTTGTACTACCAAGGCTCTCTTGTTTAATAGACTTCTGCAAAGCACTCAAAACAAAGACTCAGGGCAGCCTTCAAAGCACCTTTCCCCTACTATCTTTGTGTGCTTATTTGCATGCATGTAGTCACTTCATTTGCCTGTCAGATCCAGCAGAAGTGCTATTTGTGCATGCACACACATGCAAAAGCAATCAGGGAAAACTTTGAAATAGCCATATCAAGCCTAGCCTTCTGGATGATTCTTTAATTTTTTTATTTAATATTACTTGTTTATTCTCCTTTATTTTTTATTAATTAAAGGCAGTTTACATACCTAATATATACCTGAGCCGTGGTGGTGCAGTGGTTAGAATATAGTGTTGCAGGCTAATTCTGCTGACTGCCAATTATCAGCAGTTTGGCAGTTCAAATCTCACCAGGCTCAAGGTTGACTCAGCCTTCTGAGGTTGGTAAAATGAGGACCCAGATTGTTGGGGGCATTATGATGACACTACAAACTGCTTAGAGAGGGCTGTAAAGCACTGTGAAGCAGTATATAAGTCTAAGTGCTATTGTTAATGTTCCTTCTTCCTATATTCCCTACAATAACAATCCTGCGAGTGATTGACTCAGTCACCCAGACAGTTGACAGATCTAAAGGAGGACTAATACATGGCCTTCTGCTTTCTAACTCAGCACCTTAATCACAACCCCGGTGTCCTGTGGCCACATGATCACCATTCATGATCTTCACAGCCAGTTTCCAACACAAAATGTCAATTGGAAAGCCAGCAGGAAGTGTAAAGTTGCAAGTCTCAGTGACATAACATCACACTTACTGTATTTTTCGGAGTATAAGACGCACCGGAATATAAGACGCACCTATCTTTTTTGGTGAGGAAAAGAAGAAAAAGAAATCTCCCTCTGAGCAATTTTGCCTCATTGAAGCAAACAGCAAACAGTTTGCTTTACTTTCATTTTCGTTTTCAGCATAGCTTGATTAGTACAAGGGGGAAAAAAATCTGCTCCAGCAATTTACCTCTTTGCAGCAAGCAGCAGAGCCCTGCGCAAAACAGCTGAGAGCAAATCAGCTGAGAGTCGGGAGACCGATCCAATCAACTTGTGCTAATTAGCCTGTGCTGAAGCTGAAACAAGCTGTTTCTTCTTGCTGCTTGCTTGCAAGGAGGTAAACTGCTGCAAGGCAGAGGCCAAAGGGTGGGGGCCAGTGGGTGGGCGGGGCTACATTCGGTGTATAAGATGCACCTAAATTTTCTCCCTCTGTTAGGGGGGGAAAAGGTGCGTCTTATACTCCGAAAAATACGGTAACTGTAGTAGGAACTGACAATTGCTATCTTAAGTCAGGTGTAAGCATGTGACTTTTCATTTTTCAACCGTGTCACTTAGCAATGGAGTTACCAGTCCAATGGTAGATGGTAAATGAGGACTACCTATTTCTTCTGTCATTGAGAAAGCTATTAAAAGTTGGTCTTTCAGACATGATTTCAGAGATTAATATCTAACTGCTGCATTTCATTTTAATGTGTTGTATGTTACATTTTAATTCTGGATTTTATATACTTATATAGTGATAGAACATAGTTTTATAATCCTTCTACAAGCAGGCGTTGTGAACGGTCTAGAATTTTTATAATAGAGCAGAATATAAATACTGTAAAATAAATAATAAATATCACACAATACTACTACTGGCACCATATCTGATGTATGAATGTGCATGTATATGATTCTGAATTGTAAGGACTGAGATGGGCAGCTATAGAAATTGGGATGGATGGATGGATGGATGGATGGATGGATGGAAGGATGGATGGACGATAGAGTATGTTCATGCTCACAAGGTGTGCACACTTGGTGCATGAACATACAAATGTATAGGCACATCTAAAACACCTTCTTAGTAAGGTTAATTTTACCTGTCTGGGAACACTGCAGTTAGGAGGAGGAGGATGTATACCAAGCTGATGAAAAGTATTGATGCCAAAGGCATATAGACATCCATCTTCTGTTAGTACAAGTGTATGATCTTTAGCTGCTGCCACTTGAGAACACTGATGACCCACCAAGCTTTCTACCAGTCTAGGAATCTAAGACAGATGAAGAAGAAAATGTCATCTTCAACAATTCAAGCCACATCTCTCTATTAGAAGGTTCATTACCAAGAACTAAAGCAAAATCACCTTCAAAAGGTGTCTCCACTCATCCTTTGTCTTGTAGGACACCTTGTAACAATACTGTTATTACGATACAAGTTTTTGTGGAGAAAATAAAACTCTCTCAATGTACTACAAAGCTGTTACTTTTCCTGAAATAGTATAACCCATACACACTGGAAACTGACTAAATAAATGTCTTAATAGTGTTTTCATTATATTCTAATAAATTTGTTAATTTTAAAGTATAGGAATCTGTTTTGCTGAAAAGTACTCGTCCATGGCTACCTTTCAAAATATTATCCAAGATTATTCTTTAATTTATGTTCCCTACCAGATAGTTTGAGAACTCATTAATAATGAGTTTATTTATGGAATCAATTACCAATATATTTAACTATAGATTTAAAAAGCTCAATATGATCTACCCATTAAAATTAGAATTATAACATTCCAGTGGTGAAATCCTACCGGTTCGCACCGGTTCGGGTTAACTGGTAGTGATAAAAGCTATCTGTTCGGCGAACTGGTAGTAAAAAAAAAGCTACCAATTGGTCTGAACTGGTATTTCCGACAATCAGCTGTGCTGCGCAATTTATATTCGCTAGAAAGCAGGAAATCCTGCTAAGTGAATCTAAGTAGCGCGGCACAGCTGTTCCCCTCTCGTTGTTCTACTTACCTTAAGCATCCTTTTTCCGCACAAAGCGTGTGTTTGGCATGCACTGCACATGCAGCGTGCATTTGGTGCACACCTCACATGCGTGGGCAGCGAACTCGTGGAAAACCACAGAGGATTTCACCACTGCAACATCCCCTAATTTCTCCAAGAAGCATATATGTAATAATATGCTTGTATGTGTATATATTTGCTTGTATGCTGTAAGTCCATGTACATAAACAGTTAAAAGTATAAGAATGGTATTTTAATATTATAAGACAACCTTATACCCTCCAACTACACTGGACTATTTCCATCATCATTTCCATAATTCCATTATGGAATAAAAGTCTCAAGCTGTGGATAATGGGGGAGTAACATCTGTGTACATGTACTGTGTACATGACATTCCGGATATGCAATTAGAATTATAGTATTCATATTTAAAACAGACTACATTAAACAGAAACATGTTTTTCAATATCTGCTAAATAGCCAGTTTTTAAAAAGAAATTAGAAGTCCTATAGCTTAGTGGATCTAAAAATCAGTATTTTTTTCATAATCTAAATTATTAGTTTTAAAATACCAAGCAAGTCTGTTCGTCACCATGCCCCAAGCGACCTCCTTGACCATGCCCACAGGTATAAACCTGTCCTTTCTGGGAAAGGAACACCGAATGAAATTTGCAGAGTACCACCTGCAGAGGTAAAAAGAGAGATTTTCTAAAAAGTAAGAACTTGAACTTCATCTAGCTAACTTTTGCAAAGTAATTTGATATTCATTTACTTTGTAATAATATGAAAACAAATCATGCCTCAGTTTGATTTTAAATATATACTAAACAAATTTAAATGAACTGCACATTGTACATTTATAATACTAGATGCCTACACAAAAAACCATTTACTATATTGACTGTATTACAGGAAAAAGTAATGTAAGAAAAATGTATACTTTGAAAATAATTGTCTTTATTTCTAATATTTTTTAAATGAGTTTTAAAAACAACAAAAATTACCAAGATAAAGCATAACTTTATTCATGATTTTATGTATGTAGGTCATTTCCTACATATCCACCTATGGAAAGGCGGACTGTAGCATAAGCTCTGCCATTTCTGACTGAATTTCATGCCCAACCTGGCTCCTACAGATAACCAAGGAGATGTGGAACATTGGAAGTGATAAGTGCTTCTTTGAGGGAGGATGAAATGCCAACTCCTTCCTGGAGGCGTGTGCTGTCTTGAAGAAGCCCTCTCTCAGTTGAACCATGCTGAACAACTACTGCCTAGTCTCCATCCTTCTCTTTGAAAAGAAGGTTGTTGAGAGAATAGGGAAGACCATAGAGGAAAGAGTGGTATCAAAGTACTAAAAATCATTTCTTGCTAAGGATTTTAGGATAGGACTGGATCAGAAACTAAAGTATTTATGAAATCAGAAAGAAAACTGGTTTAGCCACAGATGTATAAAAAGAAAAGTGGCCCAGAAGAATATCACAGCTCTTTTCAAATATTCCTGTTAAGAAGAAAGGGAGCAGCTATGCAAGAACTCCTCCCAACCTCTATGGTCAATCTAGTGTTTACCACTGCCACCACCCTAGTTTCCCACCTTCCAATACTTTCCACAATGCCTACATTACCTGTTTAATATAAATCCCATTTCGAGGAAAGAGATCCACCAATTCAGGATGATGTCTACTCTGCTGACCACCATGGCCTAAAGTAAAATTGATGTTGTTTCCCCAGGTATAGACATCTGTGGGATCTGAAGTAAAATGGTAAGTTCTTCACTGCAGTGTCTCATTTGACGTGTGGATGAAATGCATTTACTTTTTTTCTGCTTATGAATGCTTTTCATATATTCCGAAAATATAATTTAGGAATATTAATCTGTAATACTGTATTATTGCAACAAAATTATACACCCAATAATTTGCATAATCAAAATTAAGGTAATAGCATCTTAAAAGATAGACATATTCAGTGTACAACCAGATGTATAATTTTATCAAAGCTGAATCAGACATTATTCATAATAGCAAGTGTTGCATTTTCAATTTTTATATTATACTCGACAGCCCATGCCCTGTTGGGTCATCACATCAGAGACATTTCCTTGCCTGAACAGAGAAACACAATGACCAAAAACAGGCAAAAAATCTGTGAGAGAAAGAGCAGACTACCTGCCTGCTTCCCCATTGAGTTTCCTTGTGGGAAACTGGCAAGGAGATCTCCCTTCTTTCCAGCAGGCAGCTAAGTGACTGCTGGAGGGGATGGAACAAGAGATTGCAAGACTGACTGGTAAACTGTCATGGAACATTGAAAATAAAGATCATGTGACCAGTGCAACAGCAGCCAGTAGCAATGAAGCAGGCCCAACTTTTCTTCCTCGGGAATCTTAAATCCCAGATTTTGGATATATTCTGTAAGGCCATTTGAGGTACCTCGGTTCAAAAATTATTGCCCTATGATGCACCACTTTGCTTGGTTAAAGGACGTAACAAGAAATTTAGTAGATTATAGATAGGAATACATTTCACCTTACAAGTATATTTTGTAAAATATGTTCCCAAAGGCAAACTGGTACTTGATACCAAACCTGATAAAGGTAAAGGTAAAGGTTCCCCTCACACATATGTGCTAATCGTTCCCAACTCTAGGGGGCTGTGCTCACCTCCATTTCAAAGCCAAAGAGCCAGCGCTGTCCGAAGATGTCTCCGTGGTCATGTGCCTGGCATGACTAAATGCCAAAGGCGCACGGAACGCTGCTACCTTCCCACCAAAAGTGGTCCCTATTTTTCTGCATTTTTTACGTGCTTTCGAACTGCTAGGTTGGCAGAAGCTGGGGAAAAGTAATGGGAGCTCACCCCATTATGCAGTACTAGGGATTCGAACCGCTGAACTGCCGACCGTTCGATTGACAAGCTCAGCATCTTAGCTACTGAGCCATCGCATCCCTCACTGAGCCACCACGTTCCTACCAAAACTGATACTTACTTTTTTATTACAAAACAGAACTTAAAAAACAGTGTTTTGGAGGAAAGGGCAATTTATTTAAAACTAACATACTTTACTAAGAGAATAAGCTGAGCATACAAGTGAATTAGTATGTACCACCAGATGGTATGTAAAAGAGTATAGTAGTAAAGGTAGTAAGTAGTTGTTGCTATCATTAGATAAAGTTTATGGATTATTCCATTAAAAAAAAAAGAATGTAATTTACAAATTTAAAAAGGTACAAAAATGCAGCTTCAATATGCTAAGGTAAATTAGCATATGATTACTTTAAAAGAGTAGATTATAACCTCATCCTTTTTAATAGCATCAATAATATATATACACATGATGGCCCAAAATAGATGATTTAACAATACCCTCAGGTTGGAATAGTCAAACATTGCAGCTTTAGGATAAAAGATTACTTCTACAAGCAGAGCAGACACAAAATATTGGCCTCCCTTGTTTTCTAATTGACACTTACCCACCATAATGGATTGAAAATGGACAAATTAAAGTACCTAACAATGCCCACACATTGTGATTATTGTTTTTAAGACCAAATATACCATGAAAGATATTCCATATCTACTGGATTGTTACATTCAAAAGATATTTTTAATATATTCACTGACTATATCTCTTCCCATCATCCCCAAAACAATTATGTTTATGTTTAAGTGCATAACAAGCCTCTTAGTGTAATGACCAACCTGTATTCTTGAAGGTAACAAAGGCTGGCCTGTCTTTCATAACAAGATCCAAAGCAGACAAGCCTTCTTTATCCTGAACATACAAATTCACACCGTGCTGAAAGCAAGGGGAAAATAAATGAAAAAAAAATGAGACACTCTGCACTAAACCCATAATACACAAATAGAATAATGTACAAATCCAACCCCCCAAGCTGTGATGTCAGGCTAAACATTCCCCAACCTTGTTAAATGCAGAAATAATTTTTGACCAACTATTGCTACTACTTTCTTCATTTTTCCAATCACTTTTTTGCATCATTTTTGCACTCCTAAAGTAGGGATATTTAATAAAGCAGCTACCAAATACAGTCAACATAATACAATCTAGAATTACTCTCTAGTTTAAAGCTATTTTAATAGATAAGAGGCAAATCTGAATCCGTTATGTCAGATATTTCTCTACTTCACTTAACTTGATTGAGAAATAAATTTCTTTCCAATTATTCTTAATTCTTCAACATTTGTGGGTGGGGAGCCTTTTTGCTTAAACATTTTGTCAAAAGACCAATCTAGTTACTTTATTTAGCACTTCAGCAAACAGCTAAAAGCTTTGTGTAGATAAAAGAAATATTAATTACATTGGATCTGACAACAATGCAACCAGCATCTGTTTATACATTTTTTTTCTTTTGCCCACTATTTGATTTCAGGCTTGGCATAGATTCGTAATTATTAATAAAAGCTGTGAAATACCTTTAGTAATGACCATGCACAATCTATATGGCCATAGAAAATGCCACGATGCAAAGCTGTCCATCCTGACTCCTTGTCTTTTGCCAACAAATCCACTCCATTTGTTTCTGCCAACCAGTCTAGCACTCCTTTTTTACCACAAGAGGAGGCAATATGGAGGGCATTCCTGCCAAACGTATCCTTGCTTGTTGCGGCATTATAGCAGTGAGAAGTGAGGAAGGCTTTGATCTGACCTTCACTTCCCCGGGTCACTACGGAAACAATATCTAAAGCATGCTGTAATGAGCGACACTTTGAGGTACAATCAGGCACCAAAGAACTCATCTTATTCCCTGCTGAACTGTTCATTTATGCAAGACAAGGCCCTGCAAATTTTCCCTTTGTTCTTTCTTCACAAGAGGTTCATGATTTCCACCTTTCGACCAGCTTCCATGAGAATCTTTGTGCTATTAAGGCTTGATATTTAAAAAAATAAATAACTTTATCGATATAAATTCAGAGTTCATTTCCTCGTTTTAAATCTACAAAATATATTATTACTGTCCAGAAAAAAATATGACTCCAAAAAGCAACACACGGAAGGGGGAGGGGAGCTCCCCCTCCACTCGTTCTAGGTCTTTCAAATAGCCATAATTGCAAGAGAGACCTGTAAGATGAATAAAAGAAGAAATATATTAGAAATATACTATCTAACATTGTAGAATTGCAGTTTCTTTCTTTTTTCAGAAAAAAAGCAAAATTTCCAAATCAAACATCCTCCCATAGTGTTCACCCATATTCTATATAAAGCTTGGAGAAAGACCCAAGTTTTCAGGACTCATTTAAGGGTGTGTGCGCACAAAAATATGAAACTGATGGAACATTTTTCTGGGGGGCAGGTGCTGTGATAGTGAAGGCCTACTTCTTTTGTCCCATCTGATGATACTGTTTAATAAGGGGACCTGAAGCAGGCCGACTTTGCCTGACCGTAGAGTATGAAGAGAAATAGATGGCTTCTCAAATAATAAATTTGGCAGCAAGGAACCGCACCCAAGAGAATGGATGCATCTGAAAACATGATCCTGACAATTACTGTCATGATGAGACTTCAGTACCTTGATGCAGTTAATCAGTAGTTCCTAGAACAGCATTAATAGTGATATTGTAATACTTACTGGTTAAGATCCAATAAAGTAAATGTTATACTTGATATTCATAGTGCTTAATCTCAGTGGATATATTTTTCTTTTTTAATTATTTCTTTTTAAATAGAACTCAATCCTCAATTGAATTTATTTGACCGAAGGTTATGTCTCCTTTTAAGAGAATATTAATGATTTAAATTTTATGCTAAAATATATACTATATTTTTTTGCAGATAAACCAATCTGCAGATAAGATGACTCTCAAAGTTTTAGTTAAAATATTATGAGAAATGTGACATCTGCAGACAACACAACCCTTAAAATTTTCATATATTTTAATTTTCATAATTGACATCCACAATAGGTGCATTTTTCATAGTATTTTTAATAAAAAATTGAAGGTCTGCTTATTTGCAGATGGGTTTATCCATGAGTACAATCAAAATATGTGGGTAGTTTTAAAAAGGATAGATAGATAGATAGATAGATAGATAGATAGATAGATAGATAGATAGATAGACAGACAGACAGACAGACAGACAGACAGACAGACAGACAGACAACAAACAAACAAAGTGACTATTGTAGCAAGATGCACTGTTAGGAAAATCCCACGGGGTCACAGCATCCTTGGTTCATGTGATCAACATTTGCACGTTCTTTCAGCTTCCCCCTTGACTTTGCTTATTGGAAGCTGGCAGTAATGGTTGCAAATGGTGATCTATAATAAGATGCTGCAATGTCATAATTACAAACCAAATCTCAATCACATGACCATAGAGATGCTGTGACACTGCAGGTATGAGGACCCACCATAAGTCTCCCTCGTGCAGCGTAGCCTACCTTTGAAATGAACAAGTAATAGTTCAACAAGGATAAATTGTATTTGCAGATAAATCCATCTACAGATAAGTCAAACCTCATTTTGGGGATGTATTTCAGTATTTAAAATTCTCAGCTCAACCATGAGTATATTCAGTATCTTTATATTGATTTAAAAATAAAAATAAGTTTAAATACCAGAACAGCTTTTTAACGTATTATGAAGTAAATTTTATAAGAAAGATTCTCTTTTAAGGAGATAGGGGTACAGGAATGGCAATAAATTTAATCCTATCCATGTTAGAAATACAATAATGTATTTATTCTAAAAGCATTACAAATCAGTGTGACCCCCAAAACATAATGTATTCTAACCTCATAGACTTCAGAGATATACCATTCAAAAATATCAGCAACTATGCAATACAATATAAACACATTTCCAATTTCTCCTCTCTGGACATGAGATGTTTGCAAACAATAGAAAGAGAACAGTGTGTGTCACAGAACAAAGAAACCTGCAACCAATCTCATGACTATTTAAAATGAATCAACAAATAGATTGCCAAGTAGCTGGCAACAATGCAAGTGCCTGTGTGTACCAGAAGCCTCTCAGAACACTGAATTATCCAATAATTACTGGTGCAATTAACCTTAAAACCTTATATAATTCTAGTATATAATATCCTCGCAGCAGGTATTCCATAGCAACTCTTTTCTTCAAGATAGCTTATCCTCAGGATTTGAGGGAACAGGCCCAACTCAGATTTGAAGTAGTTGCCAACAGAAGTTACAACTTTCCAAATATGAACTTCATAACACCTTTTAGCAAAGTGGCATCAATCTCTGATTTGTAGCAGTACAGAATGATTAACTCATGTATTTTATAATGAAAGAACCAAATCACAAACAAGATTCTCTAAAGCTATGTGGGTAATTGTTAGCACATGGGCAGATTAAAAAAAACTTTGTAGAAAAAAATGAAGCAATAAATTTTTGATTTTAAAAATAATGAAAGCCTCGCTGCTTCAGAATGCATATTCAGACTTTATTTATTTATTTATTTATCCAATTTATATGCCGCCCTTCTCCGTAGACTCAGGGCTGCATGCAATGCATACAATGTATACATTATATAATGCAGCATACAATGCATTATAGAAATAGCCTATACTTTAGGCTATTTTTGCATACTTTTTTGTATATACCTGCTTATTAGGGCTTTTGGCCCCCCTTAAGTGGTGTTGTTCTGTACAAAGCTGGCTTATTGCCCCCACAATCCGGGTCCTCAATTTACCTACCTCGAAAGGATGGAAGGCTGAGTCAACCTTGAGCCTGGTGAGATTCCAATTTGCACTAATTGCAGGCAGCTGGCAGCTAAGTGCTAGCACTTAACAGCACTTTAGTCCGCTGCACCACCAAGGCTCTAACTGAGATGCCAGTTAAAGAAAGTAAGAAGAGTTTTAGACATACTAGTACTGAAAAATTTCACTTGCTTTAGATAAGCATGCAATTTAAAGCATTCACAGTACAGTATTGCTGGTTTCTAATTTCTCATTATTTTATTCTGCTAAAGAACATTTAGATTCATCCACTTTTAATCATTAAGATTTTATTGTAAGTTCATATTATTGGAGAATGTAACTGTATCTTCTTTTCATTTTAAATAAGAAATATATGTAGGGACTTATTTTAAGGTTTGGCTAAGGAGACAAACTAATAGGAAAAATATATTTAGACCTCCAATAAATAAATATTTTACTAGTTTCTTAGGAGCCACAAACACTGCTCTGAAACTAGAACTGTAAAAACACTGACTTAGTTCTGAAACTCAGTTAAGAGCATTTTGTAAGGGATAGTTGTAATGACTCAGGAAAAAAAAACAAGAAAGAGCAAATGACAAAATTCACAGTTAAGCAATAAAAAGTGTCACAAAACAATGAACAAACTTTTGATATTGTCATGAATGTTTATGAAAGGAGAAAAATGAGAAGAAGTTTGTAAATTTCAAAGTCACCATTTGAATATTTAATCACAGTACGGTCATGGCCTAGAAGAGAAAAATAACATTTGAAGAAACTGTGTGAAAGCTCTTCTCTTCACAAATGCAGACAGACAATCACACTATTACATGCTACCTTTTTATTCCAAAGTGATACAGTGGTACAAAAGCTAAGTGTGGTATAATAGTTAAAGTGTTGGACTGGCATAAAAAAAAACCAGGATCAACACCATATTCAACCACAGATCACTGGGTGACTTTGGACCAGTCATTAATCCTCAATCCAACCTGTCTCACTGTGTTCTTGAGTGATAGCTCACCATCTTGAGCTTTTGAAAGATGAGATAAATGACTCTCATAAATAAATACATAAAATGACTGTGGAATGCATTGGAAGTTTTTTGGGGGATTGACAAATCTCTTCAGATTTCTTCCCCTAAAAATGCATTGCATTTCTATTAATCCTCTTCCCATATATAGGTAATGTTAATTTAGCTATATGAGGACTAGGTCTCAGACAAATCAGCCATTCAAGCTAAGCCAGGTCAAGAAACAGATACTGTAGGAATAGACTTTACTGCTGTAGGGGATAATAACAGAATCTTGAAAGCCAGTCCAAGTTTATCTCTGTCCCATCTTATATTAAAGAAAATCAGTGTAGAATTATTTTGAGCTTTTTCAAGCATCTTTCAATTTTGGGTCTGTGTAGCAATCTTAGACTTCTCCAAGAATCTCCTTAATAGCTTGTCCCTTCTTTCCCCATTTAATAGCGCTTTCATACTTTCCAAGGCCAACTCTACATTCCTTTACATTCTCTCTGCTACTAACAGATGCCCAATGCTATATATTTCATAAATTTTGCCAGTGTCTCAGTATTAGTACTGTTAACACTATTAATGTCAGAGGTATAAGGTCAAAGTATAAAAAGAGGCACATCAAAGTGGTTCAGTCACCCAACCCATATCAAACATTCTTGTGGCTTGTAACTGGGATTCATTTTAAAATCTTTGCGAGAGCCAACAAATTACAGCTAATTAGTACTTATTTACCAATAGTTGGCCTATTTGGCACAACATCTACCATGTTTGGGACATAATTCACTTAGCTTCCTAACCATAACATACAAAATTTTATTTTGACAAACCACATTACAACAAACAAAATAGTGAAGATGCCACAGAGAATCAAGAAATTACCAAGACCAGCATAAAAGAAACACAAATCCTAAACAATGTTTAAAAATGAGATAGACAATAGATACGATGGTTGATAGGATAGACACACAGATATGTATGTACACAGAGAGAGAGAGAGGTATTCCTTGCTTCTCAGTATTTTACACTCATTCCTTAATCTGCGCATGCCCCAAGATGGCGCTCTGGCGCTGAGTCTCGGCTTCTTGGGGGCGATGCCTCGGCTTGGGGGGGCTCAGGGGGGTCATTTCGAACATCTATGACCCCCCGCCCGGACGAAGCAGCATCTGAGGAGCCCGTTGGAAGCTTTGTCGGCTCCCCGGACCATCCCAGCGCTGAGGGGGATGATGTCAGGACGGCGGTGGGTGACGGCGGTCTGCGGCCTGCAGGGGAGCGGCACCGGCGGCGGCGGTCGCGGGCGGTCATGGCGGCGGCGGCGGCAGCTCCTGGACGACGTCGGCGTTGTGAGGCCCCTACGGAGGTTCCCCACGCCCCTGGATGCCTC